TTAATCCTTGTGTACATCACCTAAACAATAAAATTTAATTTTTTAAAAAACTGTCAAGTTGGTTTTGGTAGACCATGCTTATAATTTTAGATACTTAGGATGCTGAGTTCTGGAAGATCATTCTTTGAATCCATCCTAGACTAGAATGTCTGGAGACTCCACTTTCTATTCACCAGCAAAGAACTGGGTTGTATTTCATGTGGTATATAGCTTCCTTTGAGCATGAACCCCCCCCCCTCCGCTTTCTCGAGACTGATTTCAAGCCTAGTGTCAGCACATGCCATACACACACACACACAGACACATTCACACACATATTAGGTAAGAAATCTATTTAAGCATAGTGATTTGGAAAGACTGAAAAGTAAGGATTAGGAAAAAGTATTCCAAGGTAAATATAAACAAAAGAAACCAGAAGTCAACTGATCAAAGAAACTACATTCAGGGTAAAGGAAGAAGGGTATGCCTTCTTGGAGACAACATCCTTGTTCTCCTAGTAGCTTTTTGAAACTCCCAAATCAGCAAAGTGAAAGTGAAAGAAATTAATAAATATTTTAAAAGATATATATATACATATATATATATACCATATATTTTAATGTTTTTATTGCTATCTGTTTACTGTGGTGTGCTGGTCCTAGACCTTGATCTCAAGAGCTGGTCACTCTCCCTGATCTTTTGTGTTCAAGCCTAGTACTCTACTACTTGAGCTACAGTTCCAGTTATGATTGTGTGTGTGTGTGTGTGTGTGTGTGTGTGTGTGTTTCATTGGAGATAAGAATCTGAGAAACTTTTCCTGCCTTAACTGGCTTTGAACCATGATCCTTTGATCTCAGCAGCCTGAGTAACTAGGATTATAGGTAGAGGACACTGGTACCCAGTATCATTTATATTTTTAAGTATTTGGTTTGTATTATGAAATTAGGAGAATGAAGATTCCATCCTATTCCATCCCCAACCCTTTCCCACATATTTTCTTTTCATTTTTACAGCCTATTTATAAGTGCAGATAATCATTTGTAAATAATACACTCAAATTATTCATGTAGCATAGCATACATATACTTCCTATATCATCTTGCTTTGTTAAGTATATTGTTCGTTAACCATTACTGATTTACCTTCAAATCTAGCACAAAACAAAATCATTTCGTGATACAAAAAAAATTATGTGGAATACAAGTTCGGAGACTTGATAGTGTTGAAAAAAATTTAAACTCTTCTCATGCTTGAGCATTGTTTGCTGTGTGTAGAAAAATTTCCCCTTAGAATTAGGAAGACCATCTTTATCTCTTCAGACGGCTTTATTGTTGAGAAATTCATCACTGTTCTTTATTAATAATATGTAACATGTTCTATCTCCTGGAAAATTTTAGTGGTTTCTCATTTTCTCCAGGTTTTATTGTTGGTCGTGATGGTAATCATGGGTTATATGTATGTGGGATGTGGGGGGGGGGGGCAGTGCTAGGGTTAAACCCAAGACCCCACACATACAAAAAAAGTACTGTACCAAAATCTCAACCCTTTTTCCAATCTTCTAAAAATTCATAACAGTGTGCCCACTTAAGACTTTTATTACATTCAATGTTTATCAATCCATTAAATTTGGAAATTCATATCCTTCAACTACAGGATAGAGTCCTAAACTACTTAATAGTTTCTTTCCCTTGGTTCTATCTGAACTCTGAAAATGTGATTAGCCAATATCTGTTTAATTTTTGCCAGTATCTAGGCTTGAACTCAGGGTTAGGGCACTACTCCTTAGCTCCTTCAGCTCAAGACTGACACACCACCACTTCTGGCTTTTGGGTGGTTAATTGGATGTGAAAGTCTCTCAGACTTTCCTGCTTGAGATGAGTTCATCCTCAGATCTCCTCCTCCTGAGTATCTAGGATTAAAGTCATGAACCATTGGCACCCAGTATATTAGCCAATTTTTGAACCTTCTGAATTGTGCCTCTGAATTTTTCCTGTTTTTTTTTTATATTCTCTTACTTTTCATCTGTGTTTTTTTTTTCTCTCTTTATTTTACCTTTATAGAAATCTCCCCAACTTCAATATCCATTCTTTTCTGCTTTCAATCTTCACTATCTAGGGCTAATTGGGTGAGTTTGACACAGAAAACATGCCCAGTGTAAACTTTTGGACATTAGAGAAACACTTAGGGTAAAAGTTAGATCAAAATGATCAAACTAATTCCTTGGTCACATGACAATTATCTTAAATTGCATAAGCAAAATGTTTTTGTCAGTAAGAGAGGAGACCGTATAAAAAATAGACTCAGACTCCCCTGTTGTTGTAAAATAATCATGCAATTTTATTTATTTTTGAAGTTGGAGTCTTACCCCTTGTTGAGGCTTAAAATTCATGCAGGGTATGTAGCTCAGGAATGGTAGTACAGTGTTTGCCTAGAATGGTGAGGCTCTACATTCTAATCCTGGGGGGGGGGGGGGGGAGGAGACAGAGACGGAAGGAAGGAAGGAAGGAAGGAAGGAAGGAAGGAAGGAAGGAAGGAAGGAAGGAAGGAAGGTTAGAAACTGTTGCTCCATATCATTCCACATCCTCTCCAGACAATATTCTCCCTCATATCAATAATTTTAAGTACTTTATTTAAAAATATAACTCATTCATTACGTGTTCACGTCAAACAAATTCCATTCTAGGAAACCAATGACCTTCAGCATAGAACTCTTGTTTCCCCTCTTTGAAATACAACCCTAAACAAATAGAATTGTCTTCTTTCTTCAAGACTGAAGTATGAGTTTATGCTTACTGAAAAGCTAATTCATTCTAGTAGGCATCCGTATTCTGCAATGCACTTGGCATTGACATTTGTCATAACCAGAATGTATTCTTTTATCCTCTGCCTCCCCAAATTAGCAACCATCAGTAAATTCTGTCCTTATCACTTAACCTACTAACCCATTTTTACAGTTATATACTAGAAAACACTGGGAAAACATCAGGGCTCAAGGTCACTCTGTAATTCATTTGTTGACCATGGAAAGAAAAAATAAATAAATATGGAAAGAACTTGAGATGACAGGAATTGTGCATTCTAGCTTTTGAATTTTTCATAATTGCTATCAAGATCTCTTTTATATCTATTTTTGTGTCATCCATTTTCATGGTCTCATGTTTTCATTTGCATAGACTTATCTTCCATTGTCTCCTTGAGTAAATTACTACCATTCTGTGTTTACCTAAGTTTTTAAATTATTTGCTAATATAATTTATTTCTCCTGAGTGTTTTTTGTTGTTGTTGTTGTTGTTATTGCTTTTGATTTACATGCTTAAAAGTTTTCCTGGATGGGCTGGGTGGTAAAATGTTCGCCTCATATGCATGAGGTCCTGGTTTGGATTCCACAGCACCACATAACCAGAAGTCGCACTGTGGCTCAAGTGGTAGGGCACTAGCCTTGAGCTAAAGAGCTGAGGGACAGCGTCCAGGTGGAGTTCAACCCCCATGACCAACAACAACAAAACATGTTTCTTGATGACCTTGGCTGTCTATTTCTGTGACAAAGGAAACAATGAAAAGCCAGGGAAGTTTAGAGTGAGTGCATATGTTGCTGGATTGTTGACTTTTACATAAAGGTCAATCTTGCTAGCATATTTTCTTTAAAAGATTCTTGGCATTGAGGACCATAGATTTCTTTTCTTCTATTGATCAGTTTCTCCAGAGACTTCTTCTTTTCTGTTCATAGACAGCCTCACACCCAATCCTCTTTGTCTTGTATATTAATCACCCTCTTTAACTGAAACTGGGTGAGCTTTCCCAGATGGGAGAGGAAAGAGCCAGTGCTCTGCTGGAATTGGGAAGAGCAGCCTGCCTATGGAAGGAGCAATCTTTACACATATTTCCACACAGGGGTTCAACCCATTTTTGTCTTCAGTTCTATTTGTTCCTGTCCATCCCCTTCCAGAAGTATCTTGTGACTTTATTTCCTGAGCTTTCCTAGGTGTCTGTGCTATGAAATGAGATGGCACTAGGCTTGTCCACATTAATATGTATTTTCCCTCGTTCTAAGTTCATTATTAGTTGTTCTGGCTCTCAACATTTTGTAGCTGGCACCATTTTTACCTTTACTCTTGCAATATTATGTTTTTGTTTATTCCTTTAATACTGTTTTGTAGCTTTTTTGGGGAATACTTGGGGAATATTCCCTGCCATATTTAACTAACTCTTTTGGTATAACATTTTAGGCAGCTAAAGCAAAGCAAAATGCACTATTTTCATCCCACAAATAAGATTTCATAGAAATGAAGGACAACAAGCTGTCTGGAAGGGGAAGTGAGGAGAAGAACCAGGTGTGGTCCCCGCTTCACATTTTCAGATCCTACTTCAGGATATGATGATTTCATCCTCCTGTTACACACGCTACACCTAACTGTAGTCTAAAGCCTAAATCACCTAACTGGTAAACACCTGATAATCTGGCCCCACCCATGCTTCTCTCTGCCTGAAAGTTCTTGGGTGTGCTAGTCTTTCTGTATCTACAGTCTTAGAGATAAATGAATCTGCTTTCTTGTGTCAGGGAAAAATGTTAGTCAAAAAAGTACAGCTGGCCGATGATCTTTTCTTTCTCTCTTCACATTTGACATTGAACTGGCTCAATAAACATTTGCTGGATGTACATCACACACTTTGTACACCATGTACACCAAGGTTCAAAACTACAAAGACAAGTCTTCTGTCCTTGAGAAGTTCAAAGTCATTCACTTCATGCCCTCTCAGCTCTCATTTGGTGATGTGATTGGCTCCTGCAGAGAACAGCACTAGGTAGCGACTAAGCAGATGTTTGACCTTGGATTTTCACTCACATTGACCCTAGATTCTTTCATTAACTCTATGCAAATCTAAAACTGAATTATTATGGAGGGTCATTAGAAATTAGCTTGCATCCCAATATATGACTACATCTTTAAAAGTGAGATCTTCACATTTCTCCGTTAAGATAGGACAACCTGTAGCACTCTGCATGAAGCTCTTGAGTCAGATCAGCTGATAGGGGATCCACTGGTGACTAGCTTGTAGTAGGCTCCTTTCCGGGCCATCAGTTCTTCATGGGTCCCTTTCTCAATCACTACCCCTTGTGACATGACTGCAATGATATCCGAATTCTGGATGGTAGACAAGCGATGGGCAATAACGATGCAGGTTCGACCCTCTCTGGCTTTGTCCAGAGCAATCTGCACTGTCTGCAACAATAAGATGGAGAAGTGATGCAAAGAAACATGCTTGTCCCCAGACCATTATGAGAGTTATGAGAGTTCATTTCTAAGCTCACTCAAGTAGCAATGCTGTGGTTAAGGGTCAACCAAAGGGTTCGACATAGGGTAGGATGAAGCAAGTATTTGCTGATGTAAGGTGTCAATGACTTAAATTGCAATTCATCAGCTAAGTAATTTCAATGACACAAACTATGAAGTCATTGTGTAATTTTTTGATGGTCTGGTTTACTAAAATAAAACTAAGGACGCAATGGAAGTGGTCATTCCTGTAATTTTTCACCACTGAGGACACTTTAACTCCCTCCAAGTCAGAATTCTGATTTGAAAAGTGCCAGTCATAAAATCTGAATTTCATAGTCATGTTTCTCTTGATTACACCTCCATGCCAATAAGCAAATAGATACCTCCTTCTCTGTATTGTATGTGGCCTGCTTGCTATGTGACAAAACCTGAGCACTATAAAATATTATCCTAATCAGATAACCTATATTATGCTAATTTATTTAAGAAAGTCATTGCCCTTGACAAGTGTTGTGTAGTCTAAAGAACCTTAAAATAAATCATTATAAAGTCAATTTTCTTAATACATGAAGCAATCCTATGTTAAACTACTTTTGGTTATTATGTTTTACTTTCTCAAAGTTTTACCGATAGCAATTGCTAATAAATCAGAAAACTGAAAATAGTGTTATATAATAAGACCAACTTTCATAGCAAAGACTGATAATAAATGAAGACTTTAGGAAATCCATACACACCATTTCACTCTCTGTATCTAGGGCAGAAGTGGCTTCATCTAGTAGCAAAATCTTAGGGTCTCGTACAATGGCCCGAGCAATAGCAATGCGTTGTTTCTCCCCTCGTGAGAGTTGAGACCCTTGGGTCCCAACGTTAGTTTCATATTTCTGGAAAAGCAAGGCAAGCTTGAGAACTAGACACAGTCATTGCTTCTACGCTGTATGAAGCTCACATCAACAACTCTTCCGTGAATTTAAGTCATTTATTGCTTTTGGTTTATATTGTGAAATGAGGAGATTTTCTTCCCTATATTTCCTGTTTTTTGTTTTTGTTGTTGTTGTTGTTTGCCAGTCCTGGGCTTGAACTCTGAGTGTGAGTGCTATCCTTGGGCTTTTTTTTTTTTTTTCCTCAAGGCTAAATCTATCACTTGAGCCAGAGTGCCACTTCTGGCTTTTTTTAAATTAGAGATACGAGCCTCACAGACTTTTCTACCCCAGCTGGCTTTGAACTATGTGTTTCTTTAAGGTTCTATCTCTCCCACTCTGTCCAGGTAAGATTCTATATAGGAGAGCCTCCTTAATTGGGAACAAAGAATTCCAGACTCTTTACTGGAAGATCTTTACAAGACAGAATAAAACTAGGAATAACATGGCTTTTAAGAGACTTTCTGATTAGCAACTTTACTGAAGAACATTCTAGAACATAAAGCTTTGACTTGAACTTACTTTCTGCTGATTACTAACTCTATGATGAAGAAATATTTGTTTTTTTGAGCTTCAAACTTATCTGAAAAGTACTGTATTAGTATCTAGTTTGCATGTTTACATGTCTGCAATTAGGAAGGAAAAGGTCTACTTATATTCCTGGCATGACTATATTAAGACAATTAACATTTATACAGATTTACTCTGTATGAGTATGTGTCAACTATTCTTGCTGCAGTAAAATTTAATACTCACAGAAACCATATTCTTGCTCCTTATTTATTTTTTAGTGGTGCTGGAGACTGATCTCAGCATCTCATGTATACAAAAACAGAACTCTATCACTGAGCTACAAACCCAGCCCACCATTCTGTCATTATAATGCTATTTTCTATATTTTACAGATAAATGATTTCCTTAAAGTTACACACACACAAAAACTAGAAAGTGTCAAAGTTTGGACTCAAACCCAAATCCATTCCAAATCTTAGGCTTTTTTCCATCATGCGAACCTAATGTTCCATGTGTATTGCTTTATGAGCCACAAACCCCATAGCCTATACTTTGGTGAAAAATAGATTATCTTCCAAAGCTTAAGAATGTTTTGATGCTGCCGGGAGCCGGTGGCTCACACCTATAATCCTAGCAACTCTGGAGGTTGAGATCTAAGGATCATGGCTCAAAACCAGCCCGGGCAGGAAATTCTGTGAAAGTCTTATCTCCAATAAACCACTCAGAAAACCGGAAGTGGCTCAGTAGATCAAGTGATAGAGTGCTCTCCTTGAGTTGAAGAACTGAGGGACAGTGCCCTGGCCCAGAGTTCAAGCCCCATGACGGACAAAAAAGAAAAAAGAAAAAGAATGTTTTGATGGAAGACCTTGGTTTTCCTTTAAAAACAAAGATGATACAGGGACATTGGGAAATAAATTTTGTTGCTGCTGAACTTCTCTTTGAGCTACAATAATAATGGGTTTTGTCTATTCCCTCTCTTCATATGTCTGTCTCTTATAGAGAATGACAGACTTAGCACTCACCTCTGGTAAGGACATGACAAAGTCATGTAGCTGAGCCTGTTTGGCGGCTGCTATGACTCTTTCCATGGGAATTTCTTTGGTGTTGTCCCCGTATCTGATGTTGTCCATTATGCTACAGGCAAACAACACTGGTTCCTGAGACACAATTCCAATGTTTGAGCGGAGGAAGTGGACATTCACTTTTCTGCTGTCATGACCATCTATCATCTGCCAGTAGATGAGAGAGGGCATTATGTTTTAGAATTCCAATAGAGAGACATTCGTAGTCTACTACTACAGGTAAGTATCACATAGGCCATTTGTTTTGCATAAGAGAGAACATTCCCAGGTCTCTGAAGGACTAAATTATGTGGCCTTGGACTTTTATAGATAGTATCTATCAGGAAGTATCAAAATCCACACTGAATAGTCTATAGCTTTATTTTTATTCTATTTCTGCAAGTGTCAGAAATGAGAATCACAAGACACAGTATTTAAGAAAAGAATCTCCTTTCATTTGGGTTTAACATAATCTCTACAAGTAGGCAGAATTGTTCTAGACTGAGGCTCTGTGAGTTACACAAAGGATTGCTCTGTTTGATGCTAATGAACAGCATAAAGACCAAGCTTATGTCCTGGATTTTATTGATATCCCTCCAAACATCTGATGTAATACACTCAGGATGAAAATAACATATTCATTCACTTAGTCAATCCACAATCATGTATTGAATCTCCATCTCAAAGTAAAATATAGAATAGTCTGTGTCTGCAATATCTGTTGCTAGGAATTCATAGTATAGAAGGCAAGTAGTTGCTGGTTCTCAAATCGGGTGTAATTAAGAGTGTGAGAATAGTAAATATATAATACATCCAGCATACAACTGTAAAGTATTGGCTCTATGATTTCAGAAAAAGTTATGTTAAGTGATGTGAATAGATTATATTTTAGATAATTTCCAAGAAGTAAAAAAACAGACAATAGAAAAAATAAAAGCATTCTTCAGTGTCAGTTAATTCTAGTTCAGTTTGCTCTACTTGTTTGCCACAGTACTTAAGACAATTGTGCGAAGCATAACTTAATATAATTAATTAGGAACTGAGCTGGTTTGCTAAGTGTTGTGCTGGGTGATAAGTTCCTAGAATACAGAGAATATGCTTCACACTCCTTAAGAATCTCCCACCACACTAGGCTTTCACACAGTGAGACTAAAGGAGGATATTCTTAGAAGAGGATCACAAGGGCTCCATAACCATGAGCATGTGACATGAAATGATATTTATCTAAAGGAATTCCAAGAAATGGAAATAAGAGGCATAGAATTCCATTATGTATGTATGTATGTATATATATATATATATATATATATATATATATATATCACATTTTCTTGATCCATTCATCTATTGAGGGGCATCTGGATTGGTTCCATATCTTAACTATGGTAAATAATGCTTCAATAAACATAGTTGTGCTGGTAGCATTGGTATAGCCTTGTTTGTGATCATTTGGGTAAATGCCCAAAAGTGGGATTGCTGGGTCATAGGGGAGCTCTATGTGGAGGCTTTTGAGGAACCTCCATACTGCTTTCCAAAGTGGTTGAACAAGTTTACACTCCCACCAACAATGCAGTAGGTTTCCCTTTTGGCCACATCCCCACCAGCATCTGTTGTTATTAGATTTCTTAATTATAGCCATTCTAACTGGGGTGAGGTGGAATCTCAATGTTGTCTTGATTTGCATTTCTTTTATGGGTAGAGAAGTTGAATATTTCTTCATGTGATCATTGGCCATTCTTATTTCCTCTTCAGAGAAGTTTCTCTTTAAGTCTTTAGCCCACTTATTAATTGGGCATTTTCTTCTTTGAGGATTTGTTGTTGGGGGATTTAATTGTTTGAGTTCTAAGTATATTTTAGATATGAGATCCTTGTCCATGACACCACCTCATTTGTTAGGAAATGGAAAGACTTGGGAAAAAAATACATTAAGTGAAGTAAGCCAGGCCCAAAGAAACATAAGCCCCATGGTTTTCCTGATTTGCAATAGCTAGTATATGTCTAGGACAAGCAGAAAAGGTCAGAAGCTATGTATGTACATATGACCATATAAGATGATGTTAAGTGAAATGAACCCCAAGATAGGGACAAACTGGTTTTTTTCTTTCTTGCTATTGTTTCTAATGTATTTATAATGTACCATGTGATTTTTTTTGTTTCTTTTGTATATTCTTCCCCCATGGTATAACCCCTGTTTTCACTGTATTTGATTCCAGTGCCTGTGGAAAAGGAAGGGAAATAACAAAATGCTGAAATAAGGATACAGGTTGATCCATTGTAACAATGAGATGTACAAGACACTACGTTGAAAACAAACTTTACAACTTCAAGGAGGGGGTGGTAGGGAAGAGTTGGGAAGGTGGGAAGGGAAGGGATGGTAGGGGAAAAACAAAGGTGGGGGTAACAATGCTTGATAAGAAATGTACTCGTTATCTTGCCCATGTAATTGTAACTCCTCTGGTATTCTCACAATAAAAAAAAAGAAAAGGAAATGTACTCATTACATTACTCATGTAACTGTAACCCCTCTGTACAGTATTTTTACAATACAATATATATATTTTTTTGGGGGGGGGGTCCAGTCGTGGGGTCTGAACTCTGGGCCTGGGCACTGTCCCTCAGCTCTTCAGCTCAAGGCTAGCGCTCTACCACTTGAGCCACAGCGCCACTTTCGGCTTTTTTTCTTTTTTTTTTTTGCTTATGTGGTACTGAGGAATCGAACCCAGGGCCTCATGCATGCAAGACAAGCACTCTACCACTGAGCCACCTTCCCAGCCCTACAATAAAAATATATTTTAAAAGTGAAATGGAAACGAGAGGTTTTGGGATGTTAATTTTTGGGTTGGATTTTTCCCTCTTTTTTGTCAGTTTTTGTTTTCTCTACCTTTTGGGGTTTTTTTTTTTAATCTTTTTTACAACAATACTCTGATTTTATTTTGTAGTAATTCAAGATAAAGAAAGGGAAGAGACAAAGAAATGTAAGTTTATCCTCTGACTCTAATACCTAGTACTTATATAAGGCTGCCCTTTCAGAAACTGACTAATTAACATTTGGAAATGATCATTTCCACATATGAAAATGTATCAGATGGACTAGACATATCATATGAATTCTTTTTTTTTTTTTCTGGTCATAGGGCCTGAACTCTGGGCCTGGGCGCTGTCCCTCAGCTCTTCAGCTCAAGGCTAGCACCCTACCACTTGAGCCACAGCGCCACTTCTGGCTTTTTTCTGATTATAGTGGTGCTGAGGAGTCGAACCCAGGGCCTCTTTCATGTGAGACAAGCACTCTACCACTGAGCCAACTTCCCAGCCTATGAATTTATTTTTTTTTAAATTAACGCCAGTTTGGAATTAGGATATTCACTTACAAAATATAAATCTGTCACTAACGTTGTCCAGTCACCTTACGATAAATTAAAAATGAAATTTGGGTTAAAGAAGAATACCTTTTGTTTTTGTATATAAGTTTATCTGTTTTGAGGAGAGTAAGGGGGAGCACAGAAATGGTAGGACAAAGAGTGAACAAGTGCAACAGTAATACTAGACACTATGTTTAAAATGAACTATACAACTTTGGGGGGGGCAGATTTGGGAGGGAAAACTGGAGGGAAGGGTAAAGGGAAGGGCTGAAATTGTTCAAAAAGAAATGTACTCATTACCTGATTTATGAAACTGAATCCCTCTGTACATCACCTTTACAATCACAGAAAAGAGAAAAAGAGGGAAAAAAAAGAGAAAAGAGAAAATCTCCCACAAAGAATGCTGTGCTCATCACAGAGATCCACCTAAATGTTGAAATCATCAAATATCTGCATTCAGTATCCTCCTTAAAAGCAAAGAGGATTTTAAAAGATTGATAAAAAGATAAGATCTTGCCCCACTTAAAAATATCTGCAAGTATGTTTTATAATGATATAATAGACTATATTGTGACTATAAAATGCAAAAAACTGGGCTGGGAAGGGGGCTCAGTGGTAGAGTGCTTGCTTTGCAGTCATGAGGCCCTGGGTTCTATTCCTCAGCACCACATAAGCAGAAAAAGCCAGAAGTGGCATTGTGGCTCAAGTGGTAGAGTGCTAACCTTGAGCTGAAGAGCTGAGGGATAGTGCCCAGGCCCAGAGTTCAGGTCCACGACCAACAACAACAACAAAAAAGTGCAAGAAACCATAATAATTTCTTTATGTCCTGGCTTGACCAGAGAATTCACTTTGCACATTCAGAGAAATACCACTAATGTTGGAGAGATCAAACAGGATGCGTTCAAACCACTGCATCTCTTGTAGTTCTTGATCTGGCTAGGTGATAGGCATGACAAAACTGATACTGAACTTTTCCTTATGGAGATCAGATTTACAGTGTGATATGTTTTCTAGGTTCACCAAACCGAAATCTTTATACCTAAAAACAATAATAGAAGTACCTACAAATTGCCGGTGCTCAACATTTGCTTTTAATTTTCCTAATTGTGTAGTTTCTATCAGTATCTGCTTATTTCCTTGGTTTGCTCTATGCAAGGAAATATTTTACTCTCTCAAAATTTTCTTAGCATCTCTTATCATAACATTATTTATCTTCATTGCAATGAAGACTACACTATTTATTTATTTATTTTTTTTTTGTCGGTCATGGGGCTTGAACTCTGGGCCTGGGCACTATCCCTCAGCTCTTCAGCTCTAGGCCAGCGCTCTACCACTTGAGCTACAGCGCCACTTCCGGTTTTCTGGTGGTTTATTGGAGATAGGAGTCTCACGGTCTCTCCTGCCCGGGCTGGCTTTGAACCGCGATCCTCAGATCTCAGCCTCCTGAGTAGCTAGGATTACAGGCGTGAGCCACCAGCGCCCGGCTAGACTACACTATTTATAAAAATCAGAGATCCAACTTTCTAAATATTGGTGTTAAGTGAACAAGTTAAGAACAAAATAAAACATACACTCATATCACAAAGAACATTTCTTAGAAAACTACTTGCGGATATACTCCAAGAAAAGGAGAGCAAAAACAAAGAAAGAGCAAAAACAAAGATAAACAATATTTACATAATCATAAGAAAAGCTGTTGACAAATTTTTAACTTCTAGAATTAACCTTAAGTGAAAGCAGGAAATAAACATTATAACAAGAATGTGGTTTTTATTCTTTTTGTTTGCCAGTTGTGGTACTTGAACTAAGGGCCTGCTGTCCCTGAGCAGTTTCACTCACAAAGTGGTAGCACTCCTGTTTTTTTATTCTTACTAATATAAACGTAAATTTAGGGATTGAAAGGTAAAGGGACAAAGTACAAGTGAAAAATTAAAATAAAATTGATAAGATTCTTACTTTAGGCAGTAATAGTTCAAGAGATATTATCTATAGGTGGCAAAAAATCAACAGAAGTGTATTACTTTAAATTACAAAAAAGCAACAAAATTACAGATAAAGTGATTAAAAATAATGTTAAGGCCAGGCACCCATAGTTCACAACTATAATTCTAGGTACTCAGGAGACTGAGATCTGAGGATTATGAGTCTATGCCAGCCTGGGCAGGAAAGTCTGTGAGACTATTATCTCCAACAAACTACCAAAATAAACCAGAAGTGGAGCTGTGGCTCAAGTGGTAGAGCACTCCCCTTGAGTATAAAAGCTCTAGGTTGGCATCCAGGCTCTGAGTTTAAGCCTCAGGACCAGAAAAAAAAGAAAAGAGTTAAGTATATTCGGAGAGAGTAGGTAAAAAGAAGAGGAATGCAATGGTAAATTAACTTTTCCTTTTTTTTATTTTAAGGTACTGGGAGTTGAGCTCAGGCCTCTCACTATGCAAGTGCTTTACCACTGAGTCATCCCTCTAGACAAACTTTTCTTTTCTGCTGGGCACTAGTGGCTCATGCCTGTAATCACAGCTACTCAGGAGGCTGAGGTCTAAGGATCACAGTTGGAAGCCATCCCAAACAGGAAAAGTCTGTAAGACTCTTATTGCCAATAAACTTCCAAAAGCCAGAAGTAGAGCTGTGGGCTCAAATAGTAGAGTGCAAGCCTTGAGCAAAAGAACCTCAGAGACAGCACCCAGGTCCTGAATTCAATCTCCAGTACCGGCACACACACACACACACACACACACACACACACACACACATACACACACAAACTTTTACTATTTGAAAAGCAAGTCCATAGAGAGTTTAAATGTCTTAAACCATTAAGACAGCAGAGCAGAACAAACATTATTTAGACACACAGAATTAATCATTGAGATATATAAAAACATTACATGGATTAAAAAAAAAACAGTTGCTTTGAAGCAAGGAAATATGGAGAAGTGTTATTTTTCCTTTTTAACTAAAACTATCCCTGCTATTTTATTTTGTAGTCCTCAGCATAGACTGCCTAAAAAAGAAAGAAAACAAAAATGAGAAAGAAATCCTGCAAAAATTAAACAAAAAGCAATTCACCAGTTTTGGGTTTTTTTTTTAAAGAAGATAAAGCCAAAAACTTTATCCATTTGAGTTCCTTCAGCTTTTTGAGTTGGGATTGTGTCTAATAGTTCCTGCTCAGGCCTCTTGCTTGCTTATATGTCATTTGTCCCTTGTCAGCCCCACTTTTTCCATTCCCAGCCATTAGTTTCCTGATTAGTCTGCACTTTCTGCTCCATTTACAGGAAAGTAAACGCTTCTGTCAAACACACTCGTCTCCAGCTTTGCAGTAGGCCCAATTTGCTTTGCCTAACTGGTCAGCAGGCCATCTGGAACTGGGAAGAATATGATGCTAGAAATTGTGAGGTAGAATCAGGTCAACCAGCAAATAGCCTACAGTGGAAAATATCCCTGGGGTAGATGTCCAAGGTGAGCACTTTAGGTCTGTAGTCTTAGAGGCTACTTTCAGAGAGATTTTCTGCAGAAATGAAAATTCCTGAAAACATTTGCATTGCTTACCACCTTCCCTTGATCAGGATCATAGAAACGTTCCAACAGCTGAATACTGGTGCTTTTGCCACATCCACTGCTTCCAACAAATGCCAGTGTCTGCCCAGGGTTCACAGACACTGAGAGGCCATTTAGAACTTGCATATCAGGTCTCGAAGGGTATGTAAATTTACAGTCAACAAACTCAATCTTCCCCTGGAAGTTGTCCTGTGGGTGGGGGAATTGAAATTAGGTAGAATCTAGAATATTGAAAATGCACTTCAATCCACACCATGATGCCTAAGTGTTGAGAAAGTGACTCTGAAATGATGTGTGTGGTGGATGTGGTGGTTTATACCTGAAATCCCAGCACTTGGGAGCCCAGGCAGGAAGACTGTGAGTTCTAGGTTCACCTGGGTTACATAGTAAGACCTTGTCTCAAGAGAGAGCAGAACAAAACACCCAAAATGAAGAAACAGCTTTCTGTTCTCTACTCTGGTAGGTATAGCATAAAGGAAGATGATCATTAAAAGACATTTGTTTATTCTTATTCTAATGTCAGGGGATTGATCTCTTTATAATCCATGCCTTTACACTTAGACAGTAGAACATATCTAAAAGTCAGGGCAAAGCACCACAGAAGCCAATAACTATATGAACACTTAAAACTCTCTTCCCCCACAGACTAAACTAATATTAGACTTGAAAGGATGTATAGAGAAAGTAACCTGAGATATATCCTACAAAGGTGAATACTTTAGTGTGTTTAAAACTAGCTGAATTATGAACTTTAGATATGAATAGACATGTAAGAGGTTCCATAGAGACATTATTTTCAATGAGCGGGAGGAAAAACAGGTCATGTGACCATGACTTTAGAATTTAGTTTTGCTTTAGTAGTCTTTTTGTTTGTTTTGCTCTCTTAATCACATGAAGATTTTCAAAACCAGGGAGAGAAGATTAAAAATCACTTCTCAGGATAATTAAGAGAAAAATATATTATGTTGAAGTTAAATTAATTTAATGAGCATCAAAGTGAACTAAAACTTGAGCCTAGATGAATATGAATCAAGTTGGACTAAGTGCTTAGCTCAAGTGTTAGAGCACTAGTCTAACAAGCTTAAGGCCTTGGGTTTAATCCCCAGTACTGAACATAAAAAGAAGAGGGTGGGGGGAGGAAGGAAGGGAGGTGGGGAGGGAGGGACAAAAGGGAAGGGAAGAGAAAAAGAGAAGAGGAGAGAAAAAGAGAGGAGGGGAGGGGAAGGAAGAAGAGGAGAAGAGGAAGGGAGGGGAGGGGAAACAGGGAAGGGCAGGGAAGGAGTGGAGAAGGGAGGAGAGGGGAAGGGGAGGGGAAGGAGAGGGAAGGAAGCAGGAATATGAATAAATTCAGCATTGTTAGATTGGAAGAACATGTCTTTCTACATTCCATACTAATCAATAGAAAACATGATGGATGGGTAAGTCTTCAAAGACATCTGATTGCATTCATTCTGAAGCTAAGAAATTGCATTCATTTGCAATGTAGTTTAGATGTATTTTGTCACACAAGGGTTCATGTATTGGATCTTGGCTCCCAGGGTGATAATGCTTCAAGAGGAGGTAGAACATTTAAGAGGTGGGGCCTAGGCCAGGCACTGGTACCTCATGCCTGTAATCCTAGCTATTCAAGAGGCTGAGGTCTGAGAGTTGAGGTTCAAAGCTATCCTTGGAGGAAAAGTTCTCATGTGATTTTTTTTTATCTCCAATTAATCTCCAGAAAGCCAGAAGCAGCCCTATGGCTCAAAGTGGTAGAGTGCTAACCTTGAGTGAAAAACCTCAAGGACAGCATCCAAGCCCTGAGTTCAAGCCCCACAACCAACCAAAAAAAATAAAAAAGAAGAAGAAGAAGAAAAGAGGTGAGGCCTACTGCAAGGTGACTGCATCATCAGAGGCTCTTCCCTGGCAAGGAATTAATATGTTTCTTAAGTGACCTGGTCAGTTCTTGGAAGTGGCTGATTGTAACAAAGGAAACTTGCCCATCTCATACTCTATTTCCTGTACAACCACCTTAAATTTCCTTCACTGGAGTGCTCTTGCTGTGGTATCACCCACAGTGACTTGATACAGCCCACCCGGCTTTCAACAGAGGCTGAGTTAAAGAAGCTGCCTCTAAAACTTTGTACTAAATGAATCTTTTTTCTCTCTCACTCTTTCAGAGATGAGGTATGGCTCAAGTGGTAGAGTACTTGAGTTCACGTCCTAGTACTACCCCCATAAAGAGAAGACCTACATCTAGGCTGGGTTCGGGGATAAATGTAAAGAAGACACAAGTATATTGTCACATTAATGGAAATGAATGGATGTAATTGCATTTTTGTCTTACTCAAGTGCCAATTTAATGAATGATTTTAATGACAATTACTTCATTCTGAATACATGTATAAATCTATTGTCTATTCTTTCTAACTACATCTGAATGAAACCATCCTGAAGGTATTAAGAGGCTAAGTGGTCTAGTCTGGCCATCCCCAATACTCTTTTGTATATACAGACACATCAAAACAACTCTCCTGGCCCAACACTTACCCACTTTTCACCCATGCCACTGTACACACTAATTGGGGGTGTTCGGTCCAGCAGTTGAAAAAGGCGTGCAGCTGCTATTTTCGCTTTGGCATAACTTGGGGTGTAAGAGATGGCTTTTCCAACTGCATTTGCACTCATTATAACTGAAGAGATCACCCTGCAATCAGACAGATACCCAGGTAGGAAGGGATAAGTGGGGTTAGAGTTTGGGGCAAGAGTTTGGGGGTCTTACACTTGTTCTACTAGGAAGGGACTTACTAATAGTAACTCACTTCAGATCTATGGGTATATGCAATGTAGCAGGTTTCAAATTGTGTGTTATGTGAAAAAGGTGAGCGATGGAAGGTGCAGACCCCTCAGATTCAGACCTCCAAACCCTGATCCCACCATGATACCCTCCCATTAAAAATTTGGTATATAAAAGAATACTTCTGGAAATAGTTTTTTAAGGAGAGAGATATGAAAGATTACCAGATTGGACTGATTTTCTTATAATTCTTGTTTTTTGTTTGCTTGTTTGTTTGTTTTATTCTTATACCAGAGCTTGAACTCGGGGCCTTTTTCTTTTACACAGCTCTCTCACTCAACTTGGTATTCTACCACACCTCCCTGATTTTCTCACAACTATAATATTATTTGAGTTAATGATAGGTATGAAAAAAGTGATGATGTTCAACATAAAGGTCAAGCCTATGCCAAACAGGTGTATGATTCATGCTTCAAATGGGATGAGAAATATACAGTAGTTTGAACACATATTTATTTCAGTTTCTATTGTATTCAGCATACATTTAATGAATGAATAAGTGAATTATAAATGTAGTAAGATTTAACTTAGCTGCTGTACAGCCTATGATGTGTGGGCAGCCTTCAGGATTGTCTATCTGTACCACCATTCACAGAGGGCTTCCCTGTGGTGAGGATGGAAGGCAGAGGTTAAGCATTTGTATGTCTTACTGCTCAGGTCATAAGCAGAAATTCTAAGTTCAGAGTTGCAAATCAAGATATTACCAGGAGTCCCATGAAAAACTGAAGGGATTGAAAGCATTTGTAATACAATGAGAAATGATGGGAAATGAATTTCTACGTTTTAAAGCCTGGGCAGAAATTAGGAGTAGTCTCTCTGTTTTTTCATGTTGCCAATCACACATTTACAACTTCATATAAATTGTCAGAAGCAAGTCAACAATTGGTAGTTTATGAACTGGCATAGTAGATTTAAATATGCAATGATTTAGAAAAGAGATTTTTCCTTGAAGTGTTTGTTGTAGGGCAGTAAAAATGTGTTGGAGAAAGATAGCAAGTGAAATCGCAGAACTCATGACTAGAGAAAAAATACCAATTAGGGTCAGATTCCCTAATGACTCAAAGCCTTCTGGGATAGTATCTCCCTAACCAAGCCACTATTACCACAAGTATATGTGTGCAACCAGTCCCCTGACACTCTGTTCCCTTAGGCAGTCACTTCTGAACGTGTAAGAAAAGCAGAATCTGGCTATAAGAAAGAAACCTAATGCTTCTGTACAGGTCACACTATCTATACAGAGAGACCACAAATCCTGTTTTCTTTGCCAGGAAGGAACAAAGATCAAATAACATAATCTTATGAATCACTTTATTCAAGGTCTCTGGAATTCCCAGTATAAAAGTATAGCGGATTACTTGTAAAAAATCATCACAGAAATTCATCCTATCATCCATTCCTCTGTAATATGACTGTGTTTATTGCTCTTCCACTGATCAATGTGGGAATTACATCTCTTGTTTATAATTGTGCTTGATTATATGACTTTCTTTATCCAAAGAGACATTGGAAAATATGACAGCTATGTAGACAGCTTTTGCATACTAGAGGTTGGTTACACCTGGAACTCTGAAACATTTTGAAGAAAACAAGTCCAATGTGTGGACAGAGTATGTTCAGAAGCCTGACTAAGACAGCCCAGGCCAGAACCACCTGGTAACCTGAATCTTGAGAATGCTAAGTCCCAGCTATTTTAACATACTGAGTTTGTTCGATAGGAGGAAACAAAGTCAAATGATAGGACCAGGAACTCCTCTCCATATAACCTTAGTAGAATATCCTCACCTAAACACATAGCTGAAATGGAGACCCTCATTGGGGATTAAGTAGCCCCCATATCTGTAGGAAGCTGCATTGGCCATAAATACTATGCCTTGAGAAAAGGCAAAGCACATTCCATAGACATTTGCTTTTCGAATGGATATCTTGAATGACTTCTCCAGCTCAGCCTCAAATGCTTCAATAAATTTCTTCTCCATTCCAATCCCAGCAACTGTACGGATATTAGTGAAAGTTTCACTGGTAATCTGAAAAAATGACAGTTTCAGGAATAAAAGAGCAGAAACAACTCCTGTCTCAATATTTCAACTACTTCTTGGGTTAGATCTGATACAAATGGCAGAATATGGTACAAACTAGAGAAGGGGACATAATCTTAGAACACAGGGAAGCTGTAAGAGAACAAGCTGAATGGGCCAGGAAACAACATGGAAATTAATTCAAATTCAACTTAGTTCCAACCTGGCTTTGGTTCCTGTACTTATGAGTGTAAAAGAAGTTTCCATTTATCCTTGGAAACTCTTAAATTTCTTTGACAATGTATGTGAAACATTTAAAGTGGTAGATAGAGATAAAAAGTGGTAGACAAAACATGTGAATCATTATGGCAATTCTTGTTCTCATAGTGCCTCAGAGCCTCTGTATGTAATTAACCATTATATATGTATATATGTGTGTGTATATACATATATACTTGTTATTGTAGAGGTGATATTCAGAGGGGTTACAGTTACATGAATCAGGTAATAAGTACAATTCTTTTTGAGCCATGTCTCCCCTTTCTTCGCTCTCTCCCAGTTTTTTCCTCCTGTCCCCACCCACAAGCGGTACAGTTAGTTTCCACATAGTCTAGTGAGTACCACTGTTGTATTTGTTCATCTTTTACCCCACCTTTTCTCTGCCCCCTTACCCTCCTGAAGACAAACAAACAAGATAAAAGGGAAAAACAAAAACAAAAAACAGCAACAACAGCAACTAACAAAAAGTCTCTTAGTTCCTTTTCTTGGAGTTAATTTTATAAAACATTATTTTATGTGATCATATGAACATATCTATTGAGCCTTTGTGATCTGCTCCTATGTTTATCCTTCTCTGTCCTCAATGTGTGAATATCTAGAGACCTATATAATATGAGTGTGTAGTTTTTAAACATTCAGTGAGCTCACTTGTAGACTTATAATGCCTCAGACTCTTGCTCAAATGTTTCTTCCCATAAAGCTATGAGTTCTTACTCAAATGCTTCTTCTTCCCATAATGCCCTGGGTGCTTGTTCAAGCAATGAAAAGAATAAGGGTGGAGTAGGCAGGAGCCATCAAGAAATCAGTGCAAGGCCCAGGGGAAGAGATAGAAAAGGAGCTCTGTACTATAAAAAAACTGCCCTCGAAGAGGAGTCTATTGGACTCCTCTTTGGAGCCCCTCTCCAGTTAGTGAGTCTTGCTACTTTCTTTCTTTCACTTTCAAATAAACAAAATAAATACAATGGTGGGCTCTGGTGTTCTTGCCTGTAATCCTAAATTACTCAGGAGGCTGAGCTCTGAGGATTGCAATTTGAAGCCAGCCTGGGCAGGAAGGTCTGTGAAACTCGTATCTCCAATTAAACCCCAGAAAAAGCTGGAAGTGGCACTGTGGCTCAAGAGATAGAGTGCTAGCCTTGAGCAAAAGGAGCACAGGGCCAGTGCCCAGGCCCAGAGTTCAAGCCCCAGGACCAGCAAAGAGAAAAACAAATAAAATAGCATTTTAAAATATCTTCTGAGACAAAAGATCTTCTAATGAGATAAACATAATGATAAAAGGATAATATGAAAGATAATTTGATAAAATTTTATTTAACTTAAAATGAAATATAAAGCTTATCTTTTATTCAAAGTTAACCTTCTAGTTAAATGTGTTTTAATCCATAAGGTAAATAATTCTGAATTACAGGAGGTACAATAGTGGACTGCTTTCTGTCATTGGTGTACAAAATGCTTCAGCTTCTGTCTACTTAGGAAGTGACATTCTTACTCTCAAGAGAGACAAAACTTAGATTACAGTGAGCTTATTAAGAGTGATTGTGTGAATGGATGTTTGTTTTTTTCCCTTTTGCCTGTTGTGGGCCTTGAATTCTAGTCTGTGCGCTGTCCCTAAGCTCCATTTTGCTCAAGACTAGTACTCTACAATTGGAGCTACAGCATTGCTTCCAACTTTTTCTGTGATTAATTGGAGCTAAAAGTCTCACAGACTTTCCTGCCCCAGCTGGCTTCAAACCATGATTCTTATATATTGGCCTCCTGAGCAGCTAGGATTATAACAAGAGCTACAAGGGCCAGGCTCGCTTGTGATTTTGTTTACCTGAAAAATGTTCATGACACTATCCCCTCCCTTACGTCCAATGACCAAGTATCAATTGGCATAGATTTAAGATGTATAGCTAAAACTTAAGTTGCATTTGAAATTCGAAATGTAGTTTATGATTCTAATTGGAAAAAATATTAAAGTGTGAAAATTAAAAGCATATGCCATTACAGAGGAGCCATAGTCTCTGCGTAGATGGCATAACTCAGGACAACCATGAAGCTGAAAAGCCCAATAGGCAGAAAACTGAACTATCCATCCTGCAAGCAGTATATAGCAAATTGGGGTGTGGACAGAGTATCTATCTGAGAAGTCAAACGTAAGCATCTGTCTTCACCACTATTTCTCCTTACCAGCTCAAACTCATACATCAAAGCTATTCTGCCATAGCCTTTGGGTAAAGGAAACAGGCAAAGAGCCAGAGGGAGGTTTCTACCTGCAAGTCTGTGGGTTAACAACTTCCTTAAGTCTCTTTTCACTCCCCATTTTTAGAAATTTCCTGTCAATTACTCAGCCATAAGCAGAAAATTGGGTCAAAGGTTACCTGTCCTGCCTTTTCCAGAGCCTGCTTGTCTTGAGAGGCAAAACTGGTCAACATTCTGGTCTGTAGGGCTCCCGATAGAGTCAAGAAAGGAAAAAAGCACACTATGACCAGGCTGAGCTTCCAGCTAAACAAGAAGGCAATGATCATAGCCACAGTGATGTTAGTGAAGGAACTGACCAACGTTCCAATCTGGGAGCCAGCAGCCTGTGAACCAAAACAGTCAAACCATTTTACACACGTTTGGTCTCTTGACCAAATGCAATTATGTGAAGTTGCTATTTGCTGTAGAACACATCAAAAACAGTACTACAAGTGAAATTGAAAGCAAAGGAGTACCTATATTCTAAAAAAATTAGGAAGATCTTAAACAAGTTAATGATACATCTCAAAGTCTTAGAAAAGTTTTTTTTATAACAAAATTTGGCAAAAGGAAAAAAAGAAAAGAAATAAGTAAAAAAGTTGGAAAGCATAATACAAAGGATGGATAAAATAGAGTTAGTTCTTGAAAAGCTACCTTGAGTAGATAGGCTGAGAGAGAGAGAAATGAGGAAAAAAGAGACTTAAATAAATTAGATATGAAATATAAACTATTACAAGTGATTCCACAGATATTCAAAAGATCATCAGGAACTATTTTGTAAAACTATATGCTAACAAAAAGTAAAGTCTGGAGTAAATGGAAAAACATTTTGAAACATATTACTTACCAAAATTGAACCAAAAGGATATGAAAAACTTGAATAGGCCAGTTACATGTAGTGAGATTAAATCAATAATTAAAAAACTACTGACAAGGGAAAATATGGAATCTGATGCCTTCACTGCTGAATTTTATCAAACTGAATTTTTAATTAATTAGCACCAATGTGTCTGAAACTACTCCGTAAAATTGAAAAGAGAGGTATTCTTCCAAACATATTCTATAGGCCATCATACTCTGTTAACAAAACCTGACAAATTCACCAAAACACAAAAAAGTAAGTTATAAACCAATACTAGCTAAATGCTATCAAATGAATTTCAGCAAAAAGATCAAAAAGATCATATATCATTATCAAGTTGGTCTCACTTTAGGAATTCAAGGATGGTTCAATATATGCAAATATATAATCGTAATCATAATATATCATATAGTGGAATGAAGGATAAAAGTCAAATGATGATTACAGTGGACACAGAAGAAAAATCTAATAAAAATTTGACATCCCTTCATGATTACACCCCTCAATAAATTAGGTATGGAGGGATCACACTTAAGTATAATAAAGCCTGCAGTGTGCTTTAACTGTATAGCATTAGAAATGGTATGGATCTGGGTATTCAAACCCCACTTGCTCCCATTCCAAAGGAAATAGTTAATTATCAGAGCATGCTAGAATCAATCTGAACATCTGTCCCAGCTAATACTCTTTTCCTCCTTCCTCCTATGGCCTATGAAGTGTCTCCCTAAAATTTATGTTGAACCCTAATACCCAATATGATAATATTAAGAGGCAAGGATTATTGGAAGGTAATTAGGTTATAAAGATTGTACTTTTAAAGTACATTTAATGCTATTATAAACAAAGTGAAGGGAGCATCCTTGCCCCTTCTACCTTTCTGCTACAGAAAGACGGATCAACAGGATGATCCCAATTAAGTTAGAACAAATTCTCTCAAGACACTGAATCTAGTATGCACATTGATCTTGGACTCCCCAAACTAAAGAAGCTAAGAAATTAATAGCTATTATTTAGAAATGACCCAGTTTAAGTAAGACATTTTGTTACTGAATTCCAAATGGACTAAGACAGTCCCATAGCTTACCCCTTGAACTTGGGTAGCATCTGAAGCAAGTCTTGTTGTCAGTGATCCTGGATTGTTTCTAAGGTCATCGAACCAGCCAATGTCTTGCCCTAACATTGCCCTGAAACCACAGGTACGTAGCCTTTTTGTGAGGAGCTCTCCAGATTTAGCAAAAGTGTACCCCTAAAACATTTTTTAAGAAAGTCTTCAGTAATATTTCAAGATAAAAAAGCAAAATAGCCAAATTACTTAATGAAAAATAGGATTCCTTACCTGCAAAAATTGGGTGAAAATGGATACACAGCCCAGGACAACAAAAAATAGGCACATATCATTAATCTGTGACTTTTGTTCTTCTTTATCAGGAATTGAAAAAATCTTTGGAAGACAGTAAACAAAGAAAACTCTTTATTACTATCAACAATATCATAGTAAATTCAAACATGTTGAAGTGAAATTTCTCTTAACCTGTCATTATACGTTTGTCTCAACCATAGAACATGTACTAAAAGCAAACCTTGGTGTACACTATGGACCTTGGGTGGCTGTGATGTATTGGTATAGGTTCATCAACTACAGCCAATGTACCACCCAAGTAAGGGATGAAGATAATGGAGAAGGGCAGAGGATATACAGGAAATCTCTACACTTTTTTCTTAATTTTACTGTAAACCTAAAATTATCTTTTAAAAGTTATCTCTAAAATGGTTTCTTTTTAAACATACCAATAATTAAACTAAAGCTAGCTATGAACACTATGGTGATATATGTTAATTCTCTGTGGGACAGAATGCCTGGTGAATGGAAATCAATGACAATAATTACAAAATTTTTGTGCTGTTTCCTTGCCTTCTTTAAGCAACTATGTTGACTTTTCCCTGACATATATGAGAAAAAAAGAAAAGAAAAAGATGTTACATAATACAAACTCATTATGAAGTAAGACAGAAAAAGGAGGAAGGGAAGGAAGAAGGAAACACCTGAGAATATGAGAGAGGGAGGGAAGGTTCGAGGGAGGGGGGGGAAGGAAGGAAGGAAGGAGAAAAAGAATACTTGAGAATATACCTGAGAATTTTAGTATGAGGAAATGCTCAGGTATTCTTTTAATCTCTATCTTGCTCAAGATACATGGGGTGGGGGGTAGGGAAGGGAGAGAGAGAGAGAGAGAGAGAGAGAGCCTTTAAAATCCAAGTTGCTATCAAGAGATCACTAGAATTGGCTTAAGAAAAAAAATTACATCTATCTGGAACTGAAGCTATTACCTCTAAATCACAATAAAATGAAAACATTTTTCTCCAAAACCTATTGAGTTTGTAAGTGGACTTTTCTAATTCTATAATGATTAGAAAATGATACTCATATATATGATGAATTTACTGACATTAACTTATGTAACTAATTGAGACTCCAGCTCTTGTGATAAGAAAACACATATCAATGGCATTGTCCATCCATAGAAAGAGATTTGGGGTTCAAAAGAAAAACCTTGTTCGTATGTTTTTTATTGTAAAAATACTGTACAGAGCGGTTACAGTTACATGAGTAAGGTAATGAGTACATTTCCTATCAAGCATTGTTGCCTCTTCCTTTGTTTTTCTCCTGCCATCCCTTCCTTCCCAACCTCCCCAACTACTTACTCCTCCCCCCCAGGAGTAAAGGTCATTTTCAACATAGTGTCTTGTATATCTCATTGTTGCAATGTGTCAAACTGTATCCCTATTTAAGCATTTTGTTTATTCCCTTCCCCTCTCCAAATTAGAAAAGTGTATGTACATGATGAAACCTTCTTAATTCAAATCATATGAAGAAAATGTAAGAATTCTGGAAATCTATGTGTTAGAGAATTATTTAGTGTCCTGAAAGTAATTTGAGTAATAGAGCTATGCCAATAAACAGTTACTCAAAAACATTTATTCTCTCTTTCTCCCTCTGTATTGTCTACTGTATATCAAATACATCTTCTAGAAACAATGTGTATTACTTCAATAATAAATGACAAAGCAAAACTATTCTGTTCCAATGACCACAATTTGCAAAGCTGAGAGAAGAGTTCTAAGTTAACAAGGTTTTACTCTTTCTAGCAGGGAGTGTCTAGGCCTTTATAGCATTTCACATAAGTGTGAATGGGCTCAGAGTCACAATGTAACTTACAAGTTTACAGAGGAATTAACAAGAATTTAGGGTAGTAAAGAAAAAAAAATACATCTGAGACTGAGGTTGTTGCCTCTAAATCACAAGAACCCCTCAAAAAAAAAAGAGCTATGGAAATGTTAACAAATAGATGAATTTAAAGTGGTTATAAAAATCACTAGCTAAATACCCTAAAATGCCAAAATGTGGTACTATGATTGCCATTTTTCCCAAAGGTTACCATTATAATGAGGAATAGAGAATTCAGATTAGCCTATTTAACTTTTGTTCTGTACATGGAAAACTAAAGCTACAAACACTAAGTCATTTGCACAAGTCATTGTAGAGATTGTTCTTGGATAAGGACATGCCTATTTTCTAGCTTCCTGGGCTTTTTCCTGGGTATGTTCTTTTGGATTATGGTGTCATCTATCATCTCAGTGTTAATGAAAGAATATTTGGCTAATGTTAAAACAGAATCATTTGGTTCAAGATTGGGTCTGTAATATATCCAAATACTTTTTTTTAAAGTCTGTTCTACAAGTTCTTGGTATATTCTTTTTTCCACAGGTAACCCAAAGATCCAAGATTCCCTCTTCTTGAACTGGTACAGTCCAGGTACATGTCTTTTTTAATGTTCTGCAATGGTTAAGTTTATTTCAGGGGAAATGGAACATTCATTAAATTTTGCTACATGTCCAAAGGTGTCAAATGTGTAGCTTCATCTACCTTAGTTCAATTTAGGTTTCCCTAAATTTAGATTCTCAAAGCAACCCATGAGATAGGATTCCTGCCCTGTATTGTTGATGAAGAAACTAAAGTCCCCCTCAGGATGAGTCATGTGCCCAAATGTACACAGTGCAGAATAGAGACCTGCAACAAATCCATGGCTGGCTCCTCCCAGGTCTATGCTTTTCTCCAGCATGCTACATCCAAATTGAAGTTATTGGGGCACTTGGAACATTTTTCAAGCCAAACCTTCCAAGGGAAAGTAAAAATAGATAAATCCTGCCTTAAATGTAGATTGAGGCTTTTGTTAGCAACCTTTTTAAGGCTCTTCTTTTTAAAGCTCAATCATTTGCAAGGCTCATGTCTCACAGTGCATTCTTTTTTTTTGAGGGGGGGTGCTCTAGGACTGGATGCTGTCCTTCAGCAATTCTCAAGGCTAGTGCTCTATCTACCACGTGAGCCACAGTGCCACTTCTGGCTTTTTTCTGTTTATGTGGTGCTGTGGAATTGAACCCAGGGCCTCATGCATGTGAGGCAAGCACTCTACCACTGAGCCAACTTCCAAGGCCTTACAGTGTGTTTTTAAAATAGCACACAAGAATATTGTGCCTTGTAGGTGTGTTGGAATGATATCAGAGCAATTGAAATCATATTCATGATTATACTCTGTGAAAGTATCATGAGCTTACAACTAAATAGGTGACTGTGATGCAGAGAGGCAAATAGAAACAGACGCCATCAGAAAGATATTGGTTCATCCATTCAACTAGCAAATATAACTCTGTGAGAACACAGCCAACTCTGAATTTTATCAGCTACATGCAGCCATTCTGGTCCTGCAGCCATTAAGGAAAATTTCAACTACTTAGTCAAAATCTGCACTTGGATTTCTGGTACTTCTCAGAAGAGCCATAGAGAATATGCTGTCCAATAATAGCCAAAAAGGCACTCCAAGAGAGCAAAGTTACATGTGAACTATCATTTCCTCTCTCAGTATTGCAAAGCTGGGAGAAATCTTAGTGAGCATCTTTGCTAACCCTTCATTTTATAACTTAGGAAACTGGGACTGAGAGAAGGGGGATGATGTGCCCCTCAGGGCATGGTTAGTCCATAGGAGCAGTTGTAGAGAAAAGCTCTCCTGGTAGGGAATTCAGGACTCTGCCCACATCAGGACTGGGTGAAGGTAATTAAATATATTCTTTATTCTACTTTTATAAGAAAGAAAGAAGCAAAGAAGAGCACAAAGCAAAGGCACCAAAATGCTGGATTTCTTTTTAAGCAGGCGTTTGGGATTTAGCCTTCAGTCTTTTCTGAATCAGCCCCTTATTCCTTGCACTTGCTATGTTCCATTGTTGTCAGTGAGATAAACTTCCAGAACTTCTCCCTGCTGAGCTGTCTGGGATGGCTAGATTAGCTGGGAAGGCAGCTTTGGAGGGCAGGAAAAGTCCTATCTTTATTATGTCCCCAACACATTCCAACTGTTTAATATCTATCCTCCTCTCAAACTGGAGACACCTTTGGCCGGACTTTCCCAGGTTCCTACTATGCTGGCTAAAGGGAACGATCAATAAATGTTTGCGAGTGAAGAAAAATACAATTGACTTGACTTGTTACTAGGTTATTCTGGTTTTTTCAGTACAACTCATACCATTGGAGACATTTCATATGGTCACTACTATCAAAAGATGAGAGAGATGAAGAGGAAGGAACTGAAATGTGAGCTTTCCTCATGTACTAAGTTCTGGAGCTTTTCCAGAGTGCTGAAAAAAGCTGATAATGATCTTTAGGTTCTAGGTTTCCTTCCTTGGTGATGTGACACAGTGTGCGTGTGTGTGTGTGTGTGTGTGTGTGTGTGTGTGTGTGTGTGTGTCTGTGTGTCTGTGTGTCTGTGTCTGTGCATGTCTGTGTGTCTGTGTCTGTGCATGTCTATGTGTCTGTGTGTGTCTGTGTGTGCATACGTGTATGTATGTGTGTGTTTCTATGTGAACTAAGGACATATGACAACATATCAGTAACTAATTCTTTAATTGATCAGCAACTGGCCCTACATTCACACTGGCTTGTTGTTATAAGCCCTCTGAGGCTTGCTTTGCTCCTTTATAAAGTAGGAATAATCAGAATCTGTCTCTAGTCATTATTAGAAAACGTAAGTGAACTATAAGCACGAAGTGATTAGACAATGACTAATAAATGTTTGCAGTTATTACAGAAATAAAGTGAAATAGAGAATATCAAAATTCCTAGGAAGTGAAAAACTAAAATAAACATCCTTTATCCCTCCCTTGGTTTACTACTTTCTTAACTTCTCTGACTTCCTCCCTGCAATCAATAGATGAGCAGAAAGTTGCGCACAACATACCAACACCTGCCAATGTAAGTCAAACTCTATCGCAGCTGTGCAGTGAGATTAAAAAAACTGACCCAGAATCCTCTTGGGCTATTCAATGAACCTTGTTAGAATTCTGATTTGATTTTGTTGGGACCTTGCCCCAACATATGCAGGCAAACTGTCTTCTTCCAAGCTTTCAACCTGCAGTGATTGCGACATTTTTTATAGAGTTTTCTGCCAGTCCTAACAACAGCATTCAGTTTCACACTTACCTTCTGTGTGATGGAAACTCGAAGAGCTTTAAAGATGAAGAAAAAGCTAATAAGTAATGAGCCAAGTATGTTAAAAAAAAAAAAAACAAAGAGCTGACCTATCAAATACGATAATGCTACTGATACAAACCCAGAAGTCACAAAGGAAATAAAGCCAATTGAGTTGCTTGCTTACCCCAAGAATCTGGCTGAATACTAAGGCATAGAGAGGTGTAACTGCCCCATTAACAGCTGCACTGAGAGCCCCTACCAGCATGTAGGGCCATTCTGGAGCATTGGCTTTCAGAATCTTTCTGAATGAAACAGGGTCAATTTCATCTTCCACAAACACGTCCTTGTCCTTGAGAGGAAAGAGGGTAAAACTGATCAATGTACCTCCTAGATGTACACATCATCATCTCACAAATGTTGTTTATTGTACAAGTCATCCTTCATTTAGCACTTATAAATTTAAGACTCACAATTTGGAAGTGGCACTGTGGCTCAAGTGGTAGGGCACTTGCCTTAAGCTGAAGAGCGCAGGAATAGCATCCAAGCCCAGAGTTCAAGGCCCACAACCGACAAAAAATAAAATAAAATAAAATAATAAAAGAGTCATAATTTGATTGGTTATGTTTATTTGCATGTATCTGTTTGTGTGTCCTTATTTGATTGGTTATGTTTATGTGCATGTATATGTTTGTGTGTCCTTATTTGATTGGTTATATTTATGTGCATGTATATGTTTGTGTGTCCCCACAGCAGAACTTGCACCTTTACTGTAGTCATAGAAAGTTGCCTGAAGTTTCCTTTAAAAGAGAAGCTGTTAACAACACCACAGCAGAATGGCAGTGGCTCTTGTTCATCTTTGCACCTTCAGCACAATGCTGAGCATAGGGTAGGTTGCCATTCATATTTACTGGATGGAAGAATGAAAGAACTTTTCACATTCATAGTGCATGCATACAATAAAACATGTATATATTTTTGCTATGTAAATGGCTCAATGCTAGGCACTAGATTCCCCTAGTCAACTTGCTTGAATCTCCTGTATGGATAAGAAGAAAACAGAACTTCCTTTTTGAATCTTGTACCTTGCTTTCTATACTTTGTTTCTGAATTCCAACCAAGAATGGTTTCCTGACTTGAAACTTTCTGATCTGTCAATGAAGAATTATATGCATAATGAAGGAGCTAAGATTTTCCAAATAAACATATTAATATGTTAGTAGTAATTTTCATTTTCTTACCTTTGTTTTACCTCATAATCAGTACCTAAATTCTTTAAGTTGGTTGTGAAATTATATATGTCTGATATTAGATTCTAACATCATGTTACATATAGTCCATATTTTTTGTTTTTTAATTTCACAGAAAAAGATACCTAAATGTTAGAGACTGAAACCTTTAGAGGCTTCCTCTAATCCTAAATGTAATCTTGGCAGTATTATATATAAGCTCTCACCCAATTTATGGGCCCTAAGGGTAAAGCTTGGAGAGTGAGAAGAAGCAATGCTATCTGTCACACTAGCTAACTTTGAATCTGGGGGTGAGTAACCTCACTTAAAATTTGGGAACATAGACATAAAACCATCCCATCTAAATTTTCGGCCAATACTTCAAGAGACCACAAGGTGGAGATAACTGCTTTATGCAAGCAGACCATTAGCAACGTAAAATAGTACATCCCCAATCTACAGAAGGTAAGGTATAAGATAAGGTAAGACCTGCTCCATTAAGATGAGAAAAAGAAAGGATTTTATTATTATTTGCACTCACAGAATTTAGTAAGTATTGAAGTACTTTAAAAATGCTAAAATTGAGCAACACTAATTCATGCAAAATGCTCCTTGAGATTCAAAATCCCATTAGCCATCTTTTTTTTTTTTTTTGGTCCAGTCGTGGGGCCTGAACTCTGGGCCTGGGCACTGTCCCTCAGCTCTTCAGCTCAAGGCTAGCACTCTACCACTTGAGCCACAGCACCACTTCTGGCTTTTTTACTTTTTGCTTATGTGATGCTGAAGAATCGCACCCAGGGCCTCAGGCATGCAAGGCAAGCGCTCTACCACTGAGCCACCTTCCCAGCCCCTCCATTAGCCAAATTTTATTAACTCCAATTCATTGTTTTATTTTTTATTCCTTAAATTTATAGGACTCCACTATAGTTATTGCACAAACAAGTAGTATAAATACAAGCTCTTTTCCTCTTAGAACTTTAGCAAAATCACATCAGCTTCCTTACATGACTTTTCTTCCTTTTTCTCCCTCTTAACTACAGAGGATAAGGTGACATGGTTTAAAAATACACTGGATATACTGGGAGCCAATGCCTAATGTCTGCAATCCTAGTTACCCAAGAGGCTGATGTTTTGAGGATTGCAGTTCTAATCCAAGTCAGGCAGCACTGTCCTCAAGACTTTTCTCCAAACTAGGAAAAGCTGACCTGGAGTTCATGGCTCAAGTGCAAAAGCACCAGTCAAGAAAGCATGCTGAGCAAGCATCCTGAGTTGAACCTGGTACATTGAGGGACATTTAGTTGTTTGTTCCTAATTTATAATGCCAATGAGAATATAATATAGAATAGTTTTGAATTTCTCTAACACTAACTCCTGTAGGCAATGAAGATTTCCCTTCCTTTGTTGATTCCCCTCTCCCACAGCTTTTCTTGCATCAAAAGAACTGAGGGAAGTCTGATGTCCAGGGCTCTGGACACTTGGATGGTGTTCTATGACTGACTGAGTGAGGCAATCTACCAGCTTAATCAATGACAGCAAAGAGCTAGCCCTTCCTTCCTTCCTTCCTTCCTTCCTTCCTTCCTTCCTTCCTTCCTTCCTTCCTTCCTTCCTTTCTTTCTTTTCTTTCTTTCTTTCTCTTTCTTTCTTCTTTCTTTCTTCTTTCTTTCTTTCTTTCTTTCTTTCTTTCTTTCTTTCTTTCTTTCTTTCTTTCTTTCTTTCTTTCTTTCTTTCTCTTGTCTCTCTACTTCTCTTACTATCAAACATTTACCCAGAAGCTAGAAAAATAGAAAGGTTGATTATGGTTGGTACTGTTAAGTTTAAATCTCAACATACTGTTTGGTCCTTTCTCACTTGAAGTACTATTAAACTTTTTGCATCTTCTCATTATTTGGGGTAACATGATGGGCATAAGCAAAGTAGTTGCTTTCAGAACTAGAAAAGTTTTTGAGTGTGTGAAAACTTAACATTCATATGCCTATGAAATATATTTTCTCTCACTGTGCTTCATCCTGCATCTCTTCAATAAATTCTCCTGTCCCACACTATTTAGATACTGGGACTTCTGTTTATTAATAAACTAAAACAAAGAGGCTTAATAATCCATCTCTAATAGATAGGAGGTCATAAATAGTGCCATATGTTCTCTGACATTTCTCCATTGTGAATTCATGTGTATGGCATCTTAATGGGTTCAAAGTTGGAATTTTACTGAAGACAGTTTGAAATTACATCCTGCAAAATGAATGTGCTTATAATTGCAATGTTCTTTGACTTACTTGCTCTGATTACTCTTAAAGCCTGGGTCTTATTTGACCATGGAAACTCAAACTTTCATTTTAGCTTAAAAATCCCCAATATCCTACTTGTTATCGTCCTCCATGACACTAAGTATCCAAGGTGATTCAACAAAAGTAAGATGTGATGACTAAGCTTAAGTTTAGGAAAGAATAAGACAGCATAACTTCAAACAGAGCTCAGTAAGAAAAGTGCCATGAACAGATCAAATGTAAGGCTTATAGGGGATTGAAAAAGAGTATCAGCCAGGTGCCAGTGGCTCATGTTTGTAATCCTAGCTACTCTGGAAGCTGAGACCTACAGGAAAAAATTCGAAGTCAGCCCACACAGAAAAGTCTATGAGACTCCATCTCCAATTACCAACAAAATTCCCACTAGAGAAATGGCTCAAGCAGTAGAGCACTGGCCATTAGCAAAAATACCTGAGTGGGAATATCAGGACTAGAAAAGGAATGGAAGAAGAGGTTGGGTGACTGCCTTTGATGGAAATTGGTATTGTTTTCAACAGCAAGACACAGCATCCTTATGAATGGGCTTTTTATAATTCAAAAGTTTTGGCCACACTTATCAAATACATTTGTAGATCAACTATTTTGCCAGTTTTATTATAATTTAAGCAATGACTTTAAAATTAGAGTAGAAAATAATTTGGTTTTTTTTAAGCTTTAAAAGGATACTTCCACATATACAATGGACTTCTATGCCTCCACCAGAAAGAATGACATCACCCCATTTGTTAAGAAATGGAAAGACTTGGAAAAAATTATGTTAAGTGAAGTAAGCCAGGCCCAAAGAAACATAGGTCCCATGGTTTCCCTTATTTGCAATAACTAGTATAAAAGTGGAGGACAAGCAGAAAAGGTCAAAAGCTAGGTACATATGACCATATAAGATGATGTTAAGTGAAATGAATCCCAAGTTAGGGACACAATTGTTCTTTTCTTTCTTGCTATTGTTTCTAACATCTTTAAAATGTACAGTGTGATTTTTCTTGTTTCGTTTGTATGCTCTTCTCCCATGATATAACCCCTGTTTTCACTGTATTTGATGTCAGTGCTCTGTATCTTGTATACACATTTTTCTAATTCGGGGAGGGGAAGGGAAATAACAAAAAAAAAATGGATAAGGATACAGGTTGACCCATTGTAACAATGAGATGTATAAGACATTATGTTGAAAATGAACTTTACAACTTGGGGTGGGGAGGGAGGAGTTGGGGAGGTGAGAAAGAAGAGATGGATGGTAGGGGATAAAGAAAGGAGGAGGTAACAATGCTTGATAGGAAATGTACTCATTACCTTACTCATGTTACTGTAACCCCTCTGTACACTATTTTTATAATAAGAAAGCATAAAAAAGGATATTTACATATAAGTAACTACTTTTTTTGCCAGTTTTGGGGCTTGAACTCTGAGCCTGGGCACTGTCCCTGAGCTTCTTTTTGCTCAAGGCTGACACTCTACCACTTGAGCCACAGTACCGCTTCCAGCTTTTTCTGTTTATGTAGTACTGAGGAATCGAACCCAGGGGTTCATGTATGCTAGGCATGCACTCTACCACTAACCCACACTCTGAGCCCTAAGTAAATATTTTCTAAACACATATAATAAATACCATTTCTATGTTTAGTAGAATTGTTTGTCCTCCACTTTTATACTAGTTATTGCAAATAAGGGAAACCATGGGACCTATATTTCTTTGGGCCTGGCTTACTTCACTTAACATAATAAAGCTCAACTTTAGTTAACATGTATTCTTCACAGTAATTGGATAATTTGTGTTTCTTTTTTATAATTGAGTAAAATATAGAGCTTGCACTGGGTCCTCGTGTTCCCACTTGTATTTCATCTGACTCTGTGAACCATCACAGATGTACACATAAAAAACACATGTGCTTAGGTAGAAAAGGCATCTCAAAATCCCAGGAGAGACTCCTTCCACTCCCCCACAGTTGACTGGTGCCTGACCTTTGTGTCTTTGTAAGTAGACTTGTGATCTACAACAGTCATTGGAGGTTCGTGTGCCAGCTGAGAAAGCTGAGACCTGGAGCGTTGCCGAATGGAAGCTCTGTAAATAAAGAGAAAGACACAAGAGTCTGCAGATGGTTGGGCAGGTTGGAACATGATTCCACTGGTGTCTAAGTTTTCACTACATTCACATAAACACAAAGGTCTGATAGGTCACATGGCAATGAAAACAGGGAACTTCTAGGTTAGGTTTGAAAGACCTTGTCTTGGGTCAGAATGGGTCAGGTTGATTGCTATGGGCCCAGGGCTCTGAAACTGACCAACCTAGATTTAAGTACAACCAGTGAGGGAGAAAGGAGAACGTAGCTGTCCTACACTCATTAAAAGTTGCCCAGGGCTTGAATATGTGCCAAGTTTATGATTCTGCTAACTGCTACCATGGCAAAGAAAATTGTTCATTGCTTTTAGTTACCATTCTGGTTTAGGGTACACATTGAATCTCTTTGTCTCTGTCTCTGTCTCCATCTACATCTCTATCTCCTCTCTCTCTCTCTCTCTCTCTCTCTCTCTCTCTCTCTCTCTCTCTATTTTTCTCATGTAAGAGTGAAAAGAGAGGAATGTTGGATTCAAGGAGACATGCCTTAACGACTCTAGCACACTGTAGATGGAACTAATCACTTTGCTCCCCTGTGAATTTATTCATCCAGAGAACATTAGATTACAACAAGGTAGTAGCTGTGACTGCTCATCCAGGCTCCTGAGCAACAAGTCAGCTTAATTATAGAACTTGACACCCTGCTCTTTTAGTGGCTCTGCCAATCCGTCACCCAGGTTCAACACTGAGCATTTATGTGAAGTCCTCCCTCTTCTTGTTCTTGTGCAAGAAGGCTTTTTTCAAGTGTCATGTGATTGGATGTGAAACCACTCCCCACCCCTCCTCTCTGTCCCCAGAGTGACCTCTGGGATACTCCCATTCCTTCTTATCTGGCCTGTGACTGTAGTTATTCCTTTGAATTAGACAACTAATGTTAGGACATCTTTCCAGAAGGTGAAGAAGAGGTGGTATCACCTAGAGCTAGATAAGGTGCAAGACAGAGATAAGCCTCAAGGTCATGGATCTAAAGCCAACTCACAGCAATAGGTACCAAAGAAGGAGTATGAGGGGAGGAAGGAGTACCATGACTAATTCTAGTATCATAACTAGTACTTCTACCTTGCTGTTCTGAACATGGAAGGCTTACTTCTGCTACTTTAATCTTATATTTCTTAAGTCTCACTCTCTGATATCATCCTCCAAACCATTCTTCCTGCCTGACATAGGTTGTCATGAGACTATGAGTACTAAGTGTGCTGGGAAAATACACCTGCCAGGGCCCAGTATCCAAGGTTTCTTGTCAGGCTTATCAAAAATACTGGAATAAGATCACATCATACCCTTTTCTGAAACAATACATCATCTTCTCTTTCCCCTCTCAGAAGCTCTGTACTATTTTTTTACTACAAAGAAAAATATCTAATTTGGTGACTAAACATTGTAAAAAACTTTTTTCAGTAAAACTCAAACTAGGATTAAAGATTAACTTTCCAGTCATGCTAATACTTCAGTGTTTTGAAGGTATATACTTACATATTGATCTAGAGAAAAATCAGCATGTCATTTAGAGACATTCTCTTTTAAAACTAAGAAATAGTTTTATCAGACTGAGGAATAACTTGACTTACTCTGAGAGCAAAAGTTTGTATTTCAATTGCCTCTCAGTAGTTAAAAAGTGGAGCTAAGTGCATGAATATGATCTTCATAAAAGACAGTATCTCATACTGCACTTAGCTTGAATGGGGAAAAGACTACAACCAGATTTTTATGTTTTTCTTTGAGAAAAGTAAAGGTTTTACAATGTAGGTCAGGTTGTCCTAGGTCTCACTACATAACCCAGATGAGTCTCAATTTTGAGATCCTCCTGCCTTGGCTTCCTGAGTCCTGGGATTACAGATGTGTGCTACAATACCTGGGAAAACTGATTTTTTTAATCCCCTTCCTAAACTCCATAAGCAATCTTTTCCCCTGAGAAACCTCTATCATTTAATCTACTCTCAAATAGTTGAGAAGCACATATGAAACAAAATCCCTATGGAGACATACATTCATTATAACAATGAAGCTTTCCTCTGCCTGTGCTTACTCCAAAAAGCCTGGGAATCTGCGTAAGGATTTCCTTGTTGTGTCTGAGACAAGGCCTGAGGATCAGAGTGACAAAAGCCTCCTAAAAATACTTGTAAACTTCAAACTGTCACATGGTGGAGCTCACCTCAAACTATCCTGGTAGCCCCCTCTGCTGAAGGTCTGCTGGGGCACATCATTTTTGGTTGCATCTTTTCCTGTTCAACAAAACAAGAGCCATTCCTTAGTGTATTCAACCACCAGAGTCATATTTAGATAGAATTATTTATTGTGCTTTCCTAGAATGTAGCTATAATATCTGATATCAAACATTCTGCTAACCTTATTGCCATAAGCAAAATTTGGAACTTGTCCAACACATTTTTTAAAAAAATCAAAATGTTTAATACAAGTCAGTCATTTGAGATATATGCTAGACTGTTACCTTTATAGAAATAAGTATATTTTAATATGAATCATAAAAACTTAAGGAAAGCCCACTGGAAAGTGACCAAAAGATTGATAGACCTAGCAAACTTTTCAAAAGTCTGTCCAAAATGACTTGTGTGTTATAGTAGCTAGGGTATTGTGGTTCGCAAATACAAATATTAAATGGTGAAGAAAGTTTAGAGAGGTTGGTTAATTTAGCTTGGGATAACCATCAACTTTGAAAGTTCAGATTGATAAAGAGAAAGTAAACTTGGACCTGAAGTGTTTGCATTTGAAAATAAGTATAAAATTTTTTAGTCATTAATGAATTTACTCAAACACTCTGGTATGCAGGACACATTCAAAAACTTCTACTATTTGCAAAATTAAAGGAAAGGAATGGAATTGAATACTAGAAGACCATGGGTTTAGCTCTATGACTTGATCTAATATGTTCCTGAGTTTCAGATGTTTTCTTTACCATTTATATAATGCCTGCTAGACTACAAGGAGAAGAAATTGGGCATTGAAAGCCATAAATTACTGTTTGGGTTTAAGATAGGGTTCAGGGGAAAGGTACTTGCCCTGCCCATCCTCTTTACGGAGGGTTCGATCTCCTTGGCTTTGCAAAGTCACTAGTGTGAAGTAGATGCCTTTCCTTTCCAACAGTTCTTCATGGGTTCCTCTTTCCACAGCTGTGCCATGTTCAAAACCAATGATGACATCTGCAGCTCTGACTGTGGATAGGCGATGGGCAACTGAAATGATTGTGTGCCCGTGCTGAATCTGTAGGAATGTGTGGCACCCCATGAAACAAGACTGAAAGATAGATCTGACACTGACCTTCAGATCACTCAAGAATCTACAAGTAAGTCACAGCCCTAGATCCTGGGCATACACTTAAGTAGGCTGTACAGGCTTTAGAAAAGACAAGAACAGCTTCTTGTAGCCAAAAATCCCATCACACATTAGTCTAGTCACCACAATTAATCCGCAGTATAAAATAAGGTGGGGAGATGTTTAAAAAATCATGTTAGTCTTAACAATAGTCTAAGAATAATATTTTACATGCACAGCTATTGAAAGCAAATCATAGCCATGTTCTGTTCAACATGAGGAGGATTTTAGTCAGCTGATACTTTGCAAATGATTAGATTGGATACAAGGATCCATGGAGAATCACATCTTGTCCCTCCCCAGGAAGCAATCTTTTCTGCAACAGTGCAAGCACTTCCACACAGACCTTGAGAATGAACTCAGACTTTCCACAAACCTTATTCAGTGCTTCTTGTACCATGGATTCACTCTCATTGTCCAATGCTGAAGTGGCCATGTCCAAAATGAGGATCTTGGGATTTCGGATGAGGGCTCTAGCAATGGCTATTCTTTGTTTCTGGCCACCGCTCATCTGGCTTCCTCCTTCGCCAACCAGGGTGTCAAATTGCTAGGAAGAACAGGATGCTGGTCATCAGGGAGATGAGGATGGCTCTTCACAGTGGCTCACAATGAGCCAGTATGAAATTTTTTCTAATTTCTTCAGCAAGCATGAATTTCCACAGGGCCAACTTTTACTGAAAGAAATACCACTTCCAAAACAGATGATCTAATCAACATTCGCATGCAAGATAAAGACAATAATTTATGATTTCATTTCCAAGTGCACTGAGCTTAACTTCAAATAAAAATTTCCAAACAAAGTAAAAGTTCAGCAGTCTGAAAATATAAGCCATCTTAGAAGACTGAAGTGCATATCAAGTCCTTGTCACCTTTCCCTTAGAAAACACAACAAAACATAATGCTGACAGATCTATTTGTGAATGAAAGCTCAAAGGAGCTTTTTAATCATATAACCAAATACAGTGCGATATATAGCACCATATAACCATGGATAGCAAATGGTTATAGAAGATCTCACAGGCCTCACATGACATCAGAATCTGACTATATGGTTCAAGTTGTTAGACTCTCATCTTGCTCAGAATTAGCCAATATGATTTGAGCTCCTAACACATGTAAAGCATGGTGCTGAAATTGTGTATGTATCATTTCATATAATCTCCAGAAATACCACATGAGGAAGAAACTACTGTTCTCTATAAGCGGAGAGTAAAGAAACACTGGCCAAAAAGAGGTAGAATAGTTTGCAAGTATGCAAACTTGCAAACTCATAAGGCTGGTACTTAGAGAAGTTGAACTTGATACTGAGTTGAGTCTGATTCTAGAGACTTATACTTTTCAACCATTAGGCTACAGCATACTCATAGCTGCAAGACTATTCATAACAGTAATTTAGAAATCCAAATATGAAATGTCCAAACTCATTGGCTCAGATGCCCAGGACCACCTGTCTCTCCTGCTTTTGTGTTGTACAATTTTGAGCAAGTTATTAACTTCTTAGAACCTTAGTTCTCCATAAATCAATCATGATTATAGTTGCTGCATTGAAGAAAACATTTGAGGATTAAATGTGTCAATGAATATGAAGTGCTAGAACAGTTCCTGGAATGTAGTAAGTTCCACATGCATATCAGCTATCAAAAATCCTTCTCATACTTAGCAGACCATCAATACCAATGTAATAATACAAAAGGGTTTTGTGTGTGTGTGAGAGAGAGGGGGGGGAGAGAGAGAGAGAGACTGCACTTGAACTTGAGGTTTTGAGTTCTTGCTTTGCTGTTTTGCTCAAAGCTGGTACTCTATCATTTAAGCCATACATATGCTTTTGGCTGGTTTACTGGAGTCTCTTGAGTTTATCTGCCCAGGCTGGCTTTACTCAGCCTCTTGAATATCTAGGATTATATGCACCATGAACTACCAGAGATTGTGTTTGTCCAGAAATTGTGTTTGTAGTAGTCATTATGACAGAAATATCTGGGGAATTGTTTTAAGACTCTTTGCTTTTTCTTCTTCTTTGTTAGTTGTGGGGCTTGAACTCAGGGCCTGGACACTGTCCCTAAGCTTTTGCACTTAAGGCTAGCACTCTACCACTTTGAGCCACAGTTCCAGTTCCTGGGGAATTGTTTTGAATACATGAGATGCTGTCTTAAGGACATAATATATAAGCTGTGTAAGAAGAAGAGAACTAAAGAATAATGGTAATGGTTGTTATGGTTTGGAGCTTATATGTTCCCATGGATGAGTTACCAGCCTGTCTGTAATTGGACTTTGGCTTTAACTTCTCTGTCTCTGTCTCTGTGTCTCTATCTGTCTTTGTGTCTCTGTCTGTCTTGTTCTCTCTCTCCCTCCCCCTGCCCCCAGTCTCTTCCATGGCTTCCTGGCCACCGTGAAGCAGAGCAGTTTTGCTCTGCCCGCCATGCATCACCATTATATTCTGCCTTGCATCAGGCCCAACAGCAAAAGTGCTAGCTGACCATGAACCTTAGTGAGCATTTCTTGAGTTGTTTATCTCAAGATGTAGTACAGTGACAGACAACTGACTGACACAATGATGAACATAGGGAGAGCATTGTGCCTCATGAATATTTTAGATACATTCTTTTCTTTTTCTTTCATTTTTTGCCAGTCCTGGGGCTTGAACTCTGGGCCTGGGCACTGCCCCTGAGCTTCTTTGTGCTCAAAGCTAGCACTCTACCACTTAAGCCACAGTGCCACTTCTGGATTTTTCTGAGTAGTTTCCTAGAGATAAGAGTCGCATGGACTTTCATGCTAGGTCTGGCTTCGAACCACAATCCTCAGATCCTAGCCTCCTGAGTAGCTAGGATTACAGGCCTGAGTTACTGGCGCTCTGCTAGACACATTCTTTTTTTTTTTTTTTTTTTTTTTTTGTCAGTCGTGGGGCTTGAACTCTGGGCCTGGGCGCTGTCCCTCAGCTCTTCAGCTCAAGGCGAGCGCTCTACCACTTGAGCTACAGTGCCACTTCCGGTTTTCTGGTGGTTTATTGGAGATAAGAGTCTCACGGTCTCTCCTGCCCTGGCTGGCTTTGAACCTCGATCCTCATATCTCAGCCTCCTGAGTAGCTAGGATTACAGGCGTGAGCCACCAGCGCCCGGCTTAGACACATTCTTAATAGATGGAATAAGGAATTCTGTTTCAAAAAGAGATTTTAAGAAGAAAATCCCCCAGTTTGGTAGATTTTCAATACATAAACACCTATTCAGAAGAAAAATGTAAACTCGTGGTACCCAGGCTTGACATTAAACATGGCATTAAAAATTTAACAACCCAGAATTCAATCAAATGAAGATGTGCATTTTCATGTAGCTTTGTTCCTTCTATGAACCCCAGGTTTGCCATGGAGTACAGGCTAGGGATACCTGTGGCAGGTTCATGATGAAGTTGTAGGCATTGGCATCCTTGGCAGCTCGCACAATATCTTCCATTGTGGCCTCTTCCCTGCCATACCGGATGTTTTCTGCGATAGTGGTAGAGAACAGAACTGGCTCCTGCTCCACTATTCCAATCTGATTCCTCAGCCACTGGACATTAAGAGAGCGGATGTCATGGCCATCCAGAGTCACCTAGACAGTGTGAGAGCAACAGGGCACTGCTTTGAGCACTTTAAGATTCTAAGTCCTACCATGAGGTATATTTAACCACTGGGGAGAAACATAAAGACTGACAAGATGGTTATAGAACAATCCTTCGTAAAATGTAGTTTTTGAGTGAAAATGACATTAGCTGGATGCTGGTGGTTTATGCCCGTAATTCCAGTTACTCAGAAGACTTTGATCTGAGGATCATGGTTTGAAGCCTGCTCAAGCAGGAAAGTCTGTGAGACTCTTATCTCCAATTAACCACTAAAAAGCCAGAAGTACAGCTGTGGCTCCAGTGGTAGAGTACCTCTTGAGAAAAATACTAAAGGAAAGTGGCCAGGCTCTGTGTTCAAACTCCAGCACAACAAACTCAAACAAAAAAAGAAACAAAAATCAGAAAACAACATTATTAGACGTTAAGTTTAGCTAAAGGACAATTCATTGTAGAGACACAAACAGGTAATGTCACCTAACTAATTCTACTGGCACAAAAATGGATACTTTTTTAATTCCTTGATTATTTACCATGCTTTCAATATTTTAATCTTTTAATGTATGATCCAAAAGGGACTTCAACAAAACAATAAAAAATAAACAATATACTCTATCTTGTATGTTTGTTTAATAGAAGCAGTTTTTAGTCAGATTCATCAAATAACACTGTGTGTTCAAAAACCATTGGAGAAATATGGTCAAATAACCAATGTGCACATGTGAAAATTTGGAGGGAAGGGTGGGGTTGGGATAGATGGGGACAGAAAGAGGGAAGTGGTGACATTGATCAAAATAGATTGTAATCATAAAATGATATGTTGAGTTAAACTATACAACTAGTTAAATAAAATAAAAATTAATTGTTTTTTCAAAATCAATTGAGAGTAAACAAAAACACAGTAAAAATGTTAACATTTTGTATTAAAAATTCAACATATTGGGGGGGGCAATGAAGAAGAGCAAGAATATAGGAGGAATGATGAGCAAATGCGGTTATTATATTCAATGTACATCATGTAAAGATTGGGAGGGTAGAATGGGTAGAATGGGAGGGAGAAATGAGGGAGATCAATGGAAGGGGTAACATCGATCAAGAAGAATTTCACTCATAACCTGACTTATGGAATTGTAAACTCTTTGCACAACTACTTAATAATAAATGGTTTAAATGGTGATTTTCAAAGATTTAGAATACTAGGGTGGCATATAGTAAAGAATGCCGAACTGAGAAGGGCATGTGTGTGAGAAGAAAGTTCTGAGGTGTTCGTCCAACCAGTTTAACACCATATGTATCCTGGGGAACTTACCATATCCATGAAGGCAAACAAGGCCACTCAAGGCATCAGCTAGAAGCCGATGACCATAATTCTGAGGCAGAGTGCAAAGAGCAGGAGCTTTGTCATCCACACATCTAGGTTCAAGTTGTGTCTTGGTCCTAGCTACAAGACCTGAGCAGATCTCAGTCCCTTTGGCTTTTCCTTTCTTGTGTGTAAAATGGTCACAGACATCTTTACAGGTCATTGTGTAAGAGAGGAATCATTTGTATGTGACATCTAACATAGCATATGATAAATATATGATAAAGCAATTATTAGTATTGTAATTCTTTTAGTTTTGGTCTATGTTTCCTCAAATAAACACAAGGAAAATAAGACAAGAAACATTTGTGAAGTTATGCATTCAAAATGATGTGTGTGTGTGTGTGTGTGTGTGTGTGTGTGTGTTTGTGTTAGTACTGGGGGCTTGAGCACTGTCCATTAGCTTTTTTGCTCCACTGCTTGGGCCATAACCTCAATTCTGGTTTTTTAGTGGCTAATTGGAGATAAGAGTATCATGGACTTTCCTGCCTAAGCTGACTTTGAACCATGATCCCCAGATCTCAGCCTCCTGAGTAGTTGAGGACTAAAGAGGGATGAGCTGCCCACTTAAATTTTTTTTTAAACTTTTCAAAACAATAATTAAGGACTGTTCCCTGTAGATTTCTATCTGTGTTCTCGTTTGTATCCTCAGCATTTGGAGAACTTAAGTAATCCATGATGATTTTGTTACAATACAAAGGGGTGGGCCTGGTAAGTGACTCACCCAAGAAGCAGCAATACCAGTTTTAATGTGCTGGCACACTTAATGACTCAGAAAACATACTCAGCTAGTCATGGAGTACTGTCACCATGCAGAAAACATATCGTGTGGATGCAGGTTATGCATGTGCCAAGACTGTCTCAGTTTGACATTGTACTATGATTTGAACTTCCTAGTCTCCACCCATTGAAATTTCTGGAAGATACATACCATGCCTTCACAGGCGTCATAAAATCTCTGAATGAGTTGTAGTGCTGTACTTTTTCCAGCCCCACTGGATCCCACCAGAGCTGTCATTTCCCCTGGTTTAATGACCATGCAGAGGTTATTTAAAATCTGGAAAAGAAAGAAAATGAAAACTAAGTGAAATAAGCCACACCCAAAGAAATATAGGTTCCATGGTTTCCTTTATTAGCAATAATTAGTATACATCTGGGATAATCTTATCAGATAAGCAGAAAAGCTCAAAAGTTATGAATATTAAAAGAAAATTTAAAAGTTCAAATTATCACTGTAAATCAAACCAAGCAATTCAGGTGCAAGTTAGGATGCTTTGTAAGGAAACTATATGATTGTATGTCTACTTATGCCACCACAGTACCTAAGGTAAGGCTTCAGCATTTAGCAAAAGGCTTAATAGTTGTGGTCAATAAGTAAAATGATATGTGCTAATATTAGTAAAATAAACTTTAAATTGTTGTTTTTTTATTTATTTATTTTTTATTGTGAGAATACCGTACAGAGGAGTTACAATTACATGGGCAAGATAACAAGTACATTTCTTATCAAGCATTGTTGCCTCCTCGTTGTTTCCCCTTCCTATCCCTTCCCATACTCCTCCCCTCCCCCCATTCGGTCCTCCCCCCACCCCCCACCAAAGTTGTTAAGTTCATTTTTTGACATAATGACTTGTACATCTCATTGATGCAATGGGTCCACCCGTATCCCTAGTTAAATGATTTGTTTTGTTTTGTTTTTGTCCATTGCGGGGCTTAAACTCAGGGTCTGGGCACTGTCCCTGAGCTCTTTTGCTCAAGACTAGTGCTCTACCACTTTGACCTACTTTTCTACTTCCAGTTTTCTGGTGGTTAGTTGGAGATAAGAGTCTCATGGACTTTCTTGCCCGGGCTGGCTTTGAACCACAGATCTTAGCCTCCTGAGTAGCTAAGATTACAAGCATGAGCCACCAGCACCCAACTCAAAAGTTTTATTCCAAAATCTAGTTTTAAACATTCTGGCTGGGAAAATAGCTCATGCCTATATTTCAGCTACTTGGGATATGGAGTTCAATAGGATCATGGTTTAAGACCAGTTCCATGGTTCAAAGCCAGCCCATACAATAAAGTCAACAAGATTCCATCTCCACAAATGCAGAGCTGGTTGTGTAGCTCAAGTGGTAGAGCACCAACTAAGTAAGCAAGCTGAACAAATATAAGACCCTGAGTTCAATCATCAGTACTGTTCCTTCCCAGGGAGAACAAAAAGGCAGATTAAGTCTCATTTCAAAATTAGTTCATTCAAGGAGAGATTCTAATTTTCTGTAACAGGGATCACCCTTATAGGTCTTTGGCAGGAAAACTGTAAATTTCCTTTACTGTTTGCCCTGAATAAACACCTAATACAAGACATGCAAGCAAATCTCCAACTCCCCCTTTTTTTTTTATTGTGAAAATACCATTCAGAGGGGTTACAATTACATGAGCAAGGTAATGAGTACATTTCTTATCAAACATTGCTGCCTCCTCCTTTGTTTCTCCTTACCATCCTTTCCCATCTCCCTCCACCCCATCATCCCCCCACCCTGCGCCAAAGCTGTAAAGTTAGTTTTTCGACGTAACGTCCACCTGTATCCCTATTTACTCCCCTTCTTATTAAGGCTAGTGGAGTGAGTCTGGTGTATTACAGGTGGGAAGTAAGCAGCTCCAGACATCAGCTTCCCATGGCTGCTCATTACTACCTAGTTAGTGTGCCCCACCCTCTTTGTCTACAAGCAGCGATGATGAAGGCATGCTTCTTGTTTGCTAACTGCCTTGTCAACTATTTATCCTGTACTTAGAATGACAGGCTCTGCCACTCATTTCAACAGAGTCTTGTAGGGTTGATTCCATTTGAATGTCCTGTTCCAATCAGAAGAATTTACACAATATAATCATTCCAAAGATGTGGTGTGTCACCTAAGAGGGTACAACCTTAGTACACTTACTTTTATTCCTAACGATTAAGTCAGGCTTTAGAAAACCAAGCCATCCGGGGCCCTAGAATGAATCATCAGAGCATCAAATGTCCACTCCTTCCAGGGAAAAGGCTGGCACTCACCTTTACATTTGGTCTGGAAGGATAGCAAAAGGTCACATTGTGGAATTCAATTTCACCCTTGATTCGATCCAGCTTGTAACCATCCTCTGACATGCAGTCAATGGTGGGTTTCTGAGCGGAATAGTGAAGACATAACAAGCATACATGTTACATGTAATTTTCTGATCATCTTAGTGTGACTTAACTCATAAAACAGAACAGCTAGGTAAAACTTCACAGAGGTATTCTACAGATAGCATGCTTCTGCCTTAAATATTTATGAATAAGTGATAACAATCACTATTACTTATTGAAATATTAGTGAGATATTACATTACCATATATTGTTACAAAGTATGTTATACTAATGTAATAAATAGATATCTTTATTCAATTACTAGTGTTTATCTAGTTGTAACTATGAGATTATGTACATCAGTATTATATAATCGTTTCTACAAATGTAGTAATAAAAAGTTATTGATATATAATATATAACATCAATATATACTATGACTAACGTTTACTATAATACATTATATTACATTAGCCATGTTACTAGATAGTGCTATGTATAAGTATTTTTAATGTGCTTTTTTCATTTACATAGTCACCATAATATAACTGGAAAGATGATATGCTTATTTCTCAGATAAGGAGGTGGAAGGATCCCAGATTATTTCATACCTAAGATCATACAACCAGTCCACCAAACTAGGCTATATGTGAATAACCATTGCAGAAGATTAAGTGTATATAAACAGTGCCATAAAATACTGTCAGCTTGCCCTTTATATCCTGAAATTTCACTTCTATTGATAGCAGTGAACCTAATCTAAAATTCAGCCATTTTGGCTAAATAGACAAGAGCAAGAACTCCTGCTATCAGAATACTTCAGATCAAACTTTTTCTCTATCAAGCAACCAGTAATAGAAAATCATCAGCACTGAAGGTATGGTGTAATCTACTTTCTTCCTCTTGAGTATCTAATAAAGATCGTAAAATCATTCTTAATGCCTTCATTTGTGCTACGGGTCCTTTTACAGTCATAACTTCCTTTGAGCATATAACAACCTGTAGAACATGGTAGTATTCAAACAGATCAACATCTTTATGAAACTTCCAATAATCTGGCTCTACCAAAGCATATAGAAAGCAGGTTTTTCCAAGTTAGAATTACCATTATCAAGAAACTAACAATAACGAATGCTGACCAGGAAGGGGTAACAGATTAAGATGCATTGTATACATACACTGCTCTGCTAAATGGAAAAAATCAAAAATATCCTACCAAAACAAAAAGAGTAGCTTCTTCATATACATTAAACCTCATTGTTTAGCAAAACACAATTGTAGTTCAGGACATCCATGAGCACCTATAATTTCCAGGGCTTCTGAACATTTTTCCAGAGGAAAAACATCAAGTTTTCACCTTCTCCCTGTTTTCAGATTGGAGATCCTACCTTTGTTTCCAATATGCTTTCATAGACTAACCAGTAAAATCCTAGCCAAGCTACCAAGATCCTGCAAAAACTGATAAAGATTTTAAGGTATATTAAGAAGATGAACTAGCCAAGCATGGTATTTCACATTTGTAATCCAAACTTAAGCAGGCAGAGGCAGGAGAATAATCAATTTAAGGACAGCCTGCTATATATAAAGTGACCCTGTCAAAAAAAAAATGCCAACAAAGCCAAAAGATAACCCAATTGAATGAACTTGGTCTTGGCCTGAAAGCCTGAACTTTCCAGTCCCTCCAGCTTTAGCCCCTTGCTCCTTCTGCCTTTTCTTCAGCTACTTCAGTTCACCAAGTCCTTTCCCTACCTTAGAGGTATGTCTTTCAAGGATTCCCTCCTGTCCTTATTTACCATGCACCCAACTAAAAGATTCTTCCCTTCTCCGCAGTCACATTGCTTTGTTTTAGAGACTACATTGGACTGAGCATGACAGGACATGATGTTGGAATCTGCTCACTTCTTTACCACTGACTCCCACTATGACTCCCAATGGGACATTATCGTCCCAGTTCACTGTTGCATTACTAGCTCTAAGTATTGCTTCTGCCTTACACTAGCACTTAATGATTGTGCATTTTTATGCACTTAAGTCAGCTCCTCATATAACATATATTATATATAAAATATATATAGCTCCTTACATAAAGATAATATAATATATAATATCATAAATAATATTATCTTTACAAATACATGTCTTGCTGGGAGCCAGTGGCTCCCACCTATAATCCTAGCTATCAGGAGGCTGAGGTCTGAGGATCACAGTTCAAAGCCAGTCTGGGCAAGAAAGTTCATGAGACTTTTATCTACAATAAAGCACCAAAAAAGCTGGAAGTAAGGCTATGGCTCAGGTGAGAAAAAAAAAAGTTCAATGACAGCATTCAGACCTCCCCACCCAAAGAACTATTGCCTTACGGATTCATTTCTACCCCACCTTGTTAGTGGCTTCACTTCTGGCTTTAACATACCCTGTCTATTGTCTCAAAGATGCTGTCAGCTGCACCACGTCCAGTGGCAAACGCTTCCAAGCAAGAAGAGGCCTGGCCAAAATTTATAGCTCCTACTATGATGCTGAGGAAAACCTGAAATGAAAAGAGATACGGTTTTCAGGCATTTTCATCAGTCTGTAAATACACAATGCTCCCAAACCATCCTTGTAAATAAGTGAACTCAGAAATTTCTCAGACGCTTTCTTCCAAAGAAGTTTGAAAGTTAAAGTATTGCATTTATCCTGCAAAGTATTTCTTCATAGAAATGAATTCTTTTTTTTTGTTGTTGTTACTGCATACCTTCTACAAAGGAATAGAGATAAGAAATATAAGCAGGAGTATATCCATACAAAAGGGTAGAATCACAATGTAATATTTCAATTTGTTATAAAATTAGCCTTGTCGTGGTTTTCTGACTAAAGGGTAACCTAAATAATAACAACAGGCCAGGTAACAGGATTCAAGCCTGTAATCCTAGCTACTTACGAAGCTGAGATCTTCAGATCTCAGATTCAAGCCAACCTGGGCATGAAAATCTGTGAGACTCGCATCTCTGATTAACCATCATAAAACCAGAAGTGAAGCTGTGTATCAAAGAGGTGGAGCACTAGTCTTGAGTTAAAAAGCTCAGGGATAGTGCCCAGGGCCCTGAGTTCAAGCCCTGCAACTGGCAGACGAAGAAGAAGAAGAAAAGAGAAGAAAGAAGAAGAAGAAGAAGAAGAAGGAGGAGGAGGAGGAGGAGGAGGAGGAGGAGGAGGAGGAGGAGGAGGAGGAGGAGGAGGAGGAGGAGGAGGAGGAGGAGGAGGAGGAGGAGGAGGAGGAGGAGGAGGAGGAGGAGGAAGAAGAAGAAGAAGAAGAAGAAGAAGAAGAAGAAGAAGAAGAAAGAGAGGAGGAAGTTGTTTAAGAAGAAGAACAACAACAGCAAAAACAATAATAATAATTAGTAATAACAATATAATAATGGCACAAAGGTCAGGTTGACTATTCTAGAGGTTGGTATATGCAAAACCAATCTGCTCTTAACACTACCAGCATACTAACTGTACTACAATCATTACTGCTAAAATACTACTGGTGGCAATAAAAAGACATGCTTTAAATGCTTGATCTCTAGTACTTGGATTAATCTTTGAAACAACCAAGGAACTGATATTTCCCTAATTAGTAGATCAGTATTTAAACAAAGGCACTTGGCTGTCTTTCTGTTTAGCTCCCAACTCCTGTGTGTTAGCTGGGTAAAAGTAGAGAGATGGGTTCCTGAGCTGAGCTGGAGAAGCTGTAGCTGATGAATACAGCCATCTCATGACCAGATGTTCCTCCTCTTCTTATCAGCACTGCTCTTAACGGTGAGGAAGAGGCTTTGGCACAAGTTTCTATGTTAACCTGCAGGAGGAATTCTCTCTGGAGGATGTTAGGGGAGGTGTGAGGATGACAAGACAGACATAAGGACATGCCCAATACCATCACAGTAGCCAGTAGCATTTTCACTCTACTATCACATCCTTTAGCCTTGTGGAAGTGTAGTCTGAGGAGAGAAGCTACTGTGGAATTGTCCATCTTTGTGTATGCTAGATTTGAGTAAAGAGGGCCTGTGTCGCTTAGAAGACAAATCTGGAAGCAAAAAGCTGTGGATAATAGATCAGGTCTAGAGTCACAGAGACATGAGTTCAACTTGTCATAGATAACTTAACCTCATGACCTCCTCTTCATTTTTGAAGTGGTCATCTAATGATATCAATTATAGAATGAGGTTGTGAGTGCTACATATGGTAATTACACTAAATGGGTCTTTCAGTGTTTGACTTCTTACATACGGTGGGTAAAGTTTTCCTTCTATACTGTCCTTATTTTTTATTACTAGAGGTGGAAAATTAAGAGAAGTATGAAAGGACAGCTTTTCACCCAGCCAGTTCTCTTTCATCTTTTCTGAATAGACCACACATTTGGTTCCTTGTCTGTAAGTGATACTGATTATTGTCATTTATGAGAGCTTCTTACCATTTTTGCCCAATTGCTATGTAGTCAGTAATGATTCTGTGTATTACAGAGTGTGCTAAACAAACCAAATTGTTAATTAGTTTGGTGGATTAAAACATTCAGTTCAGCTTAGGCACAGTTAGCCTTCATAGTTTGCTGTTTAGAAATATAGCCAAGAATTCTGTGTATATGTGAGAGAAAGAAAGAAAGAGAAATCGGGATAGAGAGGCAGAGAGAGAGAGAAAGAGAGAGAGGGGCAGGGATACAAACATAAAAGAGAGAGAAATAGGGATACAGAAAGAGAGGGAGAAAGACACACAGAGAGAAAAATAAAGAGAAAGAATATTATGCCATTGAAGGATGTCTCCTCTTTACAAAAAAAAGCCCTTGTTAAGGTGGGGTGTAAGCAGAGAACCATAACAAAGAGATTAAGAGGATAATAATTGATGATTATAATGTTCTAGGCATGTTGTACACCATGTCCATAAATAGTAAGTACTGAAGAAATATCCACTGAAATGTGAAAATCTTTACAGAAGATATAGAGGAGCCCATAGTCTAACTCGCTGATAGATGAAAACCATTAAATTGGATTCTCCCATGTGAGAGTCACCAAAGGGTTTTTATTCAGTGCGTCCAACTGAAATTGTGTATCATTTAATTTTCAGTTTACTGTTTCATTTCCTCCTCTGAAGGTTGTTCATGCATTGTTCTCCCTTCTCCTTATAGGCAAGAAATGAAAGGAAGGAAGGCTTTGCTCAGTAAATGTCTTTCTTACAAAGCGTGTAACTGAGACTAATGGCAAAACCTCTCGGGAGCAATTGGATGTTAAAGTCAGATTTCAGACTTCTCATGTTTAATTTTCCAATGTTCAAAACTATAAATTGTAGGGGAAGTGATCACCTTTTTTTTGTCAGTAGTGGGGCCTGAACTCTGGGCCTGGGCACTGTCCCTCAGCTCTTCAGCTCAAGGCTAGCGCTCTACCACTTGAGCCACAGCGCCACTTCCAGGTTTTTTCTGCTTATGTGGTGCTGAGGAATCAAACCCAGGGCCTCATGCATGCAAGGCAAGCGCTCCACCACTGAGCCACCTTCCCAGCCCATGATTAACTTTGGGTAATAGTAAAACTCTCCATACCACCCCTTTTTAAAGTATACATGTATATAAAACATGCATGCATTATTATATTTAATTTTTAAACAAAGTTCAAAGGCATGCCCGCAACTCATTCTGAAAGCACAAACTGAGCATTAAGTTATTTTTTGTGGGCTGGATGTGGTGATATACAACTATAATCCCAGTGATGTGAGAGTCAAAGATAAAAGAATTACAGTCCAAGACTGGTCCCTAGCCAAAGCAATAACCTATCTGAAAAATAAGCTAAAGCAAAAAGGATGGTAGATATGACTCAAATAGTAAAACACTTTTGTAGAAAGAATGAACTCTGAGTTCAAATCCCAATATTACTAAACACAAAGTATTCTGGTATCTCATAAAATAGTTTAAAATGGTTATAGTTTACCCAGTAGTAACAATTTCTATTTGCAAATCAAAACAGTATTCTGTTTTTCTTAGATCTAATGAAAACACTGGATCTTAAATTGGAAGCTTTCAGCTAGCAAATTTATGCCACACAGCTGTCGATATCTTTCACTGTTTGTCTATGTCACCCAGGATACTCAGCCGAAGCATTCTCTTCAAGAATCTGACATGGCAGGGCTTGGTGAGCATGCCCATAATCCCAGCTCTCAAGAGACTGAGGCAGGAGAAACAAGAGTTTTAGGCTATTATGGGTTGCAAAGGGAGACCCTGTCTGAAAAAAAATTATTTAATATAAATCTATTTCCTATGTCCTTGAAATAGCAAATGAAAAAATTATTTTTGATCTCCTTAACCTCATAGACCATCAGAAGGCAGAAAAGACTACAAGTGTCCTATGAGATACAAGTGCTCTGGAGGAAAAGCCCAGATGCCATGGAAGAGTATTGGGAGGCTAATGAACATGGAAGGGTGAAGTAGGAGGGTGTTATGGTACCATTCAGCTGCATGTGGAGGGGGCCACAACCAAGGAGGATAGGACTTGGCCAAGGGATTAGGAGAAGTTTCCTGGCTCTGGGTACACCTGGTGACCCTGCTATTTACTACCAAGTTTCCCCATCCTCCAGTCGAAATCGTATCACTATCTGCATTTACACAATTGTTTAACTATCGCTTGTCTTCTCTACCAAACTATAAACATCAGCACATTTCTTTTGCTCACTATTGAATCCCTGCATTTTGGATGCATCTGGAAACATGACATTCAATTGCATGAATAACTGAAAGGACTCTGACCATTAAAAGTATCTATGTCATTAGCAATCAATCATATGGCATAGCACAACTGAGTAGGAAAGTAAGCTTATATTACCTATTCAGTGGAAGGTCTGACTGACTTTAGGCTGCAGCAACTCATTACACTTCATAAACACGTTCATTAGGCAATGTCCTACATGATTGTTAAGCTGGGTTATGTAACCCATGTATGTTTAGCTGAGAGATCTCTGACTTTCCATTCTTATGGTATATTATCTTTCAGGATCTACTGAAAAATTAGTGTCTTGTAGTTAAAAATAATATAGATCTTCAGTGAATTGGAAATCATCAAATTGCTGGTCTCATCCAGTTAGGTCTTCACCACAAATGGACTCCATCAAATCATTGATACTGACTTTCCTCTAACACTAGGCAAGAAGCCTCATGTGGAATCCTCTTCTGAGATCCAGAAAGAAATGTTACATGTAGTCAGGAAGATCTAAGTACCTGGACAAGTGTTCCTGGTGTGTATTCCTCTTCATCCAGGACAAGTTTGGAGCCATACCAGAAAGCCAGTGCATAACACAAGAAGATGAGACACCACATGTACCCTGTAAAGAAGCCTATCACCATCCCTTTCCTAACTCCCCAGGTCTGGGCAAACACTAGATTCTTCTCATACCTGTGAAGAGAAAACATTTGAGACAAATCCAATATCATTTGAGCAGTTCAAGTTAAGATGTTTAAATAGCCACAGTGCAGTGGTTTTACTCAATAATTCCAAAGTCACTCCAAACACAAGGCAGCCTTTGAGATATGAATCCACAATAACCTCTGTCTAGTATTTGTTTGAACCTGACAATGGAATGTTGACAAAAGTCTTAGTTATACAAGTATCATAAATTGACCACAGCTTGTATGAGTGTAACAGTGGAGCAACTCTGCCTCCAGAAAATTTAATTTTTCACATTAATATCTGCACATAAGGGATCTAGGACTAGTTGTTTGTTTCTATTATATGACATACCATTTTCTATCAGAAAATAATGCAACTGTCTTCAAATAAGCAAGTCAGATTATCTGGGTATTTCTAGCATTCATACCAACTCATCTACATCAGCCCACCCACCCACTCTGGGGAGTTGTTGGATCATAGAGTAGTTCTAGTTGTTAATTTTGGAGCAATGTCCATGCTGTTTTCCATAATTTCTGTCTAATTTACATTCCCACTAACGATGTAGAAAGGTTCCCTTTCCTCTACATCCTTATGAGCATTTGCTATCATTTGCCTTCTTCCTAATAATCATTCTTTCTAAGGTAAGGTGGCTTTGCATTGTGATTTTGGCTTGCATTTCCCTGATGATGAGTGATGTTGAGCAATTTTTCTTATACTTGCTGACCACTTGTGTATCTTCTTTTCTGAAACATAGGTCTAATTGCCTATATTTAGATTATTTGGGTGTGGTTTTTTGTTTTGGAGATTTTATTTATTTATTTATTTTTATTTTATTTATTTTGCTGTTGTGTGCTTTAAGTTCCCTATATATTCTTCATATCAACCCTTTGCCAAATACAGTTTTTATATGTTTTCTTCCATGCTATAGCTTCTGTTCTTACTCTGTTGGTTGTTTCCTTTTCTGTGTAGTAGCTTTTTAGTTTGGTATGATCCTATTAGTCTATTTCTGCCTTTTGTTTCCTGTGCTTTTGGGGTCTTATCCAAACAAATACGTTCACAACCTAATGTCCCAGAGCATTTCCCCTTTATTTTCTTCTAGTTGTTTATAGTCTTCTGTTTTAGATGTAAACCTTTAACTTAAAATAAGTTGGATTTTGTATATGGAGTGAAGTAAGGATATAATTTTATTCTTCTGTATGTGGACATCCAATTTTCTCAACACCATTCATCAAAGAGACTATCTTTTCCTCATTGTGTAATCTTGGCATCCTAGCCAAAAAACCAACTGATTAAAAAGGTGTGAATTTCTTTCTAGACTCTATTTTCTTTTCTCCATTTGTTCATTTTTCTGTTTTTATGCCTGAATGCTGTTTTGATTGCTATAGAAATCTATGTAGTAAATTTTGAGATAGACTGTAAAATTCTTCCAACTTTCTTCCTGTTGTTCAGGATTGCTTTTGCTATTTGGGGTCATCTGTAATTGCATAAAAGTGTCAGGATTTTTTTCCTATTTCTATGGAAAATATCAGAATTTTGGTAAAGACTGCATTGAGCATGTAGATTGTTTTGTTGAACATTGAAATTTTAATAAGTTCATTTTTTAAAAAATCATAAATACAAGGTATCTTTCTATTCATTTGTGTCCTCTTCAACTTTGTCCATGAATGTTTTGTACCTGAAGTATACAGGTAGTCTTTCTCCTCCTTGGTTAAATTTGTTCCTAAGTGTTCGTGAATCTATTGTAAATATGATTATTTTCTTGATTTCTTTATCTGATAGCTCATCTTTAGTGAATAGTAATGCTACTAATTTCTCTGTATTGATTTTGTATCATGGACCTTTGCTGAATTTATTACATATTATATATCATTGGTAAAATCTTCAAGGTTTTTATATGCAATATGCTACTTGAAAGCAGAGACTATTTAACTTCTTACCATCTGACTTAAATGCCTTCATTGCTTTCTCTTGACTGGTTGTTCAGTCAGACTTGCAGTCCTATTCTGAGTAGAAGTGGCAAGAGTGGCTGAACCTGTGTTTTTCCTAATCATAGAGAAAACACTTTCACACTGATTAGTCTAATTATCTGTATGATAGTCATATATACACTATAAATAGTCTTTATTGTATTAAGATATATTCCTTTATATCTAATGTGTTCAGAGTTTGCATCATGCATGGATGTTGAATTTTGTTGAATACAATTTCAGCATCTGTTGAGATGATCATCGAGTTTTGTGATGTCTTTATCTGATTTGGGAACAGGATTGCTGGTATTATAAGTTTTTCCTTGTTTGTTTTGTCATTTGTTTTTGCAGTGATGAAGATCAAACCAAGGGCATGTTAGGCATGCACACTTGACAACTAAACTATATCTTTATCCTTAAAATGAATTTGAAGATCCTCTCCTCTTCAATCTTCTGGGAAGAATTTTTTAAGAATTCCTACTAATTCTTCTTTAAAAGTTTAGTAGAGCTCAGCAATAAAGCCTGTGGGTCCTGAGCTTTTCTTTGATAAGAGACTTTGCTTACTGATCCTCTTCTTACTATTTTTCTGTTCAGCTTTTCTATTTTTTCCTTATTCTGTCTTGGTAGGTTGCATGTTTCTAGAAAATTACCCAAATATAGCTATTTAATTTGTTGACATATAATTGAAAACAGTAGTCACTTTTGATCATTTGCATTTCTGTGTTATCTGTTGTAGTGCCTATAGAGGTTTAACTTTAATAGCAGCAACCAATTTTAAAAATAGGCATGAGGTATAATATGTGAGCAGATATATTAACAGAGTTTGAAACAAATGTCTAACCTATATTAGTTTTCTAAAATGCACAAACTGCAATATCTTCAAAAACCCATGGCTTAAGTCTTGGACTTCTTGTAGTACTTTGAGCAATCCAAATTACTCTATTTGGTCATCTTTTGAGCAATGCTCACTCTATAAACCATGAGGGGCAAAATGAGGAAAAGTCAGAGAATTATGCTGGTTGGAGAAATCCAGAAAAGTGACATTCCATTTAACTAACCTTCTAACCTCTTTTTGTTCACCACCAAAAGCAGCCACTGTTCGTATAGATGAAATAACTTCATCAGCTATAGATCCTGCTTTAGCATAGGCCTTCAACTCAAGGTCTGTGAATTTAGACACACTCTAAAATCAAGAAAAAGAAAAGAAAATGTTTTAGGTCAGGCAGTCTGTCATTCAGTGATTCATTTAACAGAAGTAAGGATGTGGCATGGTTTGATGTAACAATAGATTCTTACTGTAATACCAGAGGGGGAGGGGAAATCGTTCAAGTTTGATCATGTTCAGTCTAATTCATGGTGTTTGTTTATTAATATATCAAAATGACTCCAATGAGAGTCTCAAAACTTTTCACACAGCAAGTCCCTGATAGGTCATTCTATAACACTGAAGTGTTTGTGTAGAATGAGGTTCCCAAGTCAAATTAGGTCCTATTGCATTACTATCAGCCAGGAGTTACTATAAAATCTGTAGCCGAACACCAGAGACCAGGACTGGAGGCCCATGTAAGCAGTATAGTTGGAGTATAGTTGAGAAAGAAGATCAGGATATGCAGAAGCACAATTTAGCAGGTAATAGTTCCAAAGGAGAAACCATTAGGTAAATATTCTGTCCCTTTGACTCAACTGTTGAAGTTTAATCTAATTTTATTATGTGAAAAGACAAGACTTTTTTGCCCAACAGTGAACAAGTTATTTTTTCTAAAACTAGACTTGGATTTTTTAATATTTAAATATTTTTCATACAGTCCAAAAATTCATATGGAACAACAAAAGACCTAGAATAGCCAAAACAATTCTAGGGAATAAAAACAACATGGGAGGGATATTCATGCTGAACTTCAAACTCTAATATAGAGCCATAATAACAAAGACGGCATGGTACTGGCACAAGACCCAAAGACCAATGGAATAGAATAGAAGATCCAGAAATAAATCCACATGCCTATAGTCAGCTGATATTTGACAAAGGAGCGAAAGACATACAATGGAAGAAACACAGCCTCTTCAACCACTGGTGCTGGGAAAACTGGGCGGCCACATGCAGAAGACTAAAAGTGGACCCCAGCCTATGCACCAACATCAACTCAAAATGGATTAAAGACCTTAACATTAAACCTGAATCTCTGAAAATACTGCAGGACAGAGTAGGAGAGACACTTGAACTTATAGGCACAGGAAGGAACTTCCTGAACAGAGTCCCAGGGTCACAACAAATTGGAGAGAGACTTGACAAATGGGACTACCTTAAAATAAAAAGCTTCTGCACAGCTAAATCTATCGCAACCAAGCTAGAAAGACAACCAACTAATTGGGAAAAAAATATTTACCAGCAATATATCAGACAAGGTATATACAGGGAACTCAAGAAACTAATCCTTCCCAAACCTAACAAACCAACTACTAAATGGGCAAGGGAACTAAAGACAGACTTCTCAGATGAAGAGATAAAAATGGCAAAGAAACACATGAGGAAATGTTCATCATCCCTGGTGGTGAAGGAAATGCAAATAAAGACAACCCTGAGATACCACCTTACCCCAGTCAGAATGTCCCACATCCACAAATCAGCCAACGACAAATGCTGGAGGGGATGCGGAGAAAGAGGAACCCTATTACACTGCTGGTGGGAATGTACACTTATACAACCACTTTGGAAAGCAGTCTGGAGGGTCCTCAGAAAGCTAAATATTGACCTCCCTTATGACCCAGTCATACCACTTCTAGGCATCTATCTTGAACAACAGAAGCAATATACAAGGACACATGCACCCTCACGTTTATTGCAGCATTGTTCACAATAGCCAGGATATAGAAACAACCCAGATGTCCCACCACAGATGAATGGATCCAAAAATTGTGGTATCTATACAAAATGGAATATTATGCAACCATTAGAAATGACAAAATAATGGCATTTGCAGGGAAATGGAGCTAGAAGAAATCATGTTGAGCAAGGTAAGCCAAGAGCAAAGAGACAAATGGTACAAGGTCTCCCTGATAAGTGAATGTCAAATCCAAAATGTTAGGTGATAGGATAAAATTAACAGAACTTAAGAAACAAAGGACTTCCACTCATCTGGTCGAATCACTACTAAATAACCCCATGCAGCTGATCACATGTATGGTATATATGTGCACACCAAGAGGGAAACCAGGAGGACGACACAGAACTAGAGGGAATCAGGGAAAAACATACAACTGCAGGACCCGTCAGCTGCACTGGACATTGACCAAAATGAACTAAGCAACTTAATGGCAGTGATGGGAGGGAGGGAACAAGTGGGAAAGAGGGAACAGCGGATGCTGCGCAAAACAAAAGGAATGTACATATCACCCAATGTGGAAGAAATAACTCTATCGCAAAGCTCGTAGAACTCATAAATGTTATAGACCGCGATAGACAATTTGCTCCAAGAAAGTTAGAATGTGTTTGTGACTTTAACTGAGCATCACTATCCCACAATACTGTGAAATTTGGGAAATTATGTAACCACTTAATCACAATAAAAATTTTGAAAAATAACATGAAGACAAGAAAAAAAAACATGTGTTGGTCTTTCCTTCATTAAATTGTTTTGCTATTTTTATTTTTTTTTAAAAATCAACTAGCCAGGCTGAGAATGTAGTTCACTGAGAATGAACATGCGTAGCCTGTGCACAGCTTTGGGGACAATCTCCAGCAAATTCTTCCCTCCAAAAAAGGAAAAAGTACAGAATTCCTTCCCTCAGATGGCCATAAATGTAAACATTCCCTGTAGATTCTCAGTTGTATTCAATTGGCTTATTTGCTTCCTAGCAATCCTGTAAAATGTCTTGATTTTTGTACCACTGCAGTAAGTTTTGAAATGGAAAAGGGTAGACCCTCCAATTCTGTTGTTTATTCAAGATTGTTTTCACTTTTCCTGGATCCTTATATTTCTATATGAATTTTAGAGTCAGCTTACCAATATTGCAAAAGAAAAAGTCAATGGGATGTTGATATGGATTTAAAGAATATTTCATCTTAACAATATTGTCTCCTAACCTGTGAATCCCATGGCAACATTTACAGGGGTGTGTGTGTGTGTGTGTGTGTGTGTGTGTGTGTGTGTGTGTGTGTGTGTACGCCCACACATGCTGTTACTCAGGGCTTCATGCTCAGCTCAGGTTTTTTTGCTCACTATTGTGCTCTACCACTTGAACCACACCTCCAGTCTGGCATTTTGCTTGTTAATTGGAGATGGAGTCTTGCAGACTTTTCTGCTTGAATTGAACCACAGTCTTCCAGCTCTTGGCCTTCTGAGTAGCTAGGATTGCAAGTGTAAGACACCAATACCCAGTACACTTACAATTGTTGATGTACAAGTCTTCTATTTCCTTGATGAAATACATTCCTAGGTATTTTTACTCTTTTGGATATTATAAATAAAATTCTTTTCTTAATTCTCTTTAAAAAAATAAATAAAATATTTTTCATCATTGTTATAAAGGTGATGTACAGAGGGATTATAGTTTCATAAGTCACGTAATGGGTACGGGCCTTATTTGTGAACACAAGTGGACCTAGTGAAAATTAACCTGGCACAGATTAAGACACAAAGAAGAAAGTCAAATATTGTGAAAGACCAACTAACTCAGAAATGTAAAGAATACTTAATAGCCAGATAAAGGGAGTTTGTCTTCCCATTGTCTTTCCAATCTTTTGGAAGGAAAAGTATTACCAAGTAAAATATTAGAGAGAATTCTAAAATACAAAGTAAGATAACATTTTTAGGGATGTATGTACTATTTCATCCATCGATATCATATGAATTCTATGGACTGAAAAGACAACAGGAAGCACAAGTAGTGCTCAGTTTCATCAACACTGAAATTTTCACTTGGACATTAGGGATTGCACTGTTTTTTCACCTGCTTTATCTAATATATTCCTAAAATAGTCATTTGCAGCACAGTCATGAGAAAAATCACATGATTGTGAGTGGTTCTTGTTTTTTTATTATAATGGCATATTAAATTAATTTCAGGCTACTTTAGTTAAATTGACCTTGGAGCTTAAGAGGTGTGTATTTGGAAGTCTCTAGTTGCTGCTCATATTTCTTCTCTTAAATATAAAGGTCTGACAAAAATATGCAAAACCCGAAGTAACTTCTAATATACCATATGTTTCCCATCTTTGCCTTTGACTTGTGCTTAGCAGAGTTGTTTGTATCATTTCAGAGCAACAAACATGCACAGGCATGATGACAACAAGAAACAGATGCAGAGTCGCGGCATTCCAAATCGATGACACCTTTATAAGTCAGAATATGGGCAATGAGATGATACCAGAAGCCATGCTCTGAAAACCACCTTAATAAAAAAAAAAATTTTTAAAAACTTAATCAGACAATGGTTGTAGTTTCCAGCACGTTAAAATATGGCATAGAATCTGTTGAAAGGTATGTATTACATCTTTGAAGAAAGAGATTACATGTATTTGGGGGCAGGGGGAACAAAAGAAACTGGACCAAACGTTTGCAGAACATTTCATACCCCTCAGGAGAAATTAAGGGTCCAGTGAAGCATAGTGAGAAAGTATATGGTAGGAAAGACAGCTGTAATGACATTTCAAATTGAAATGTCATTGTACAGCCATTTTTAAATAATTTTAATTTTTTTTCATCTCTTTAGTGCCAGGCTCTGGTGGCTTACAGCTGTCATCCTACCTACTCAGGAGGCTGAGATCTGAGGATTGAGGCTCTAAGCCAGCCTAGAAAGGAAAGTCCTTGAGAATCTTACCTCCAATTAGCCACCAGAAAACTGGAAGTGGCACTGTGGCTCAGTGATAGAGCACTAGCCTTGAGTGAAAAAAAGCTCAGAGACAGTGAGGATTAGAACTAAGGAATGTGAAACTCTTAAAATTACCTGACAAAGTGTAGCTGTTCAATAAAGTTTGTGGTGAATAAAATAATAGTTATCTCCTTAATCCATATACTATCATCTCAATAGATACTGAAAAGGCATTTGACAAAATTCAATCCATTTAAAGGACCATTCCCCAGGCTCAAGTGGGGTTTATCCCTGGGATGCAAGAGTCACTTAACATGAGCAAATCAATAAATATAATCAGCCATATTAACAGAATGAAAGATAAAAACCATCTCAATGTTGATTGATCCTGGGGGATAAAACAGAATAAATTAAAATAGTGGCAATTATATTAACTAAACATGCTCAGGAGAAGAAAAGCAAGCTTCATGTTTGGGGGCTATTTGTGAATACTAATGTCTTCCCATGAAAAGAAACCCAAAGATACTCTTACCAGGCCAAGGATGCCTGCTCCAATCCCAATGAGAGGGCTGACAGAAATAATCACCAAGGTCAGTTTCCAACCCCTGTAAAATCCCAGCAGGAAGCAACAGATGGCTGAAGACATGCGCTGAATGAAAATGGCCAATTGATCAGCAATAGCCTCGTTGATTTTATCAACATCACTAAGGAAAAAGAAGTTCGATCACACAGCTGAATTTGGTTAGTTCAAATGTCATGTGGGGTCATTTCCCTCTGTCCTTCTTAAGCATCCCCATCTTGGTTTCACGATCACCCTTGAGTAACATCACAGCTTCTAAATCATGAAAAATCCTCAACGTGGTGGAGCTGTTATCAAGCCTCTCCTCCTAGCCAGTTCAATTTTTCCCAGCTAATAGTCATTCAACTTTAAACCACCTTGTTTCTCTCTTTCTCAGAGCTAATAATCCTGGGTTTGTCTGAAGAGCACTTTATGCTTTCTTCACAACTGTTAAGTCCTGTCAGTCACAAGGCTTTATTCACATATGTACTCAGTCATAAACCTTGGATAATCCCCAGGAAGAAGTCATGTCTTCCCTCCCATGTTTCCACAGCAGCAATGTGTGTGTGGAGAGGAGGGTGGGAGGGTGTGGGGGGGGGAGGGAGGGTGGGTCTGTGTGATTACTGAATTCTGTTAATGGGAAAGAGACAAGTAACTAAACACACAGATTCTGGAGCCAGAATCTCTGAATTCAAATCTAAGTTCTTAAGGCAAATTATTCAGCATTTTTACACCAAGGTCTCCTTTGTGGGTTTCATTACACTGTTTGCATGTACACAATTTATTTCTATAATATTTATCTTCCTACCCATATCACCCTCCCCTTCCCTCCTCATCTGCTGATTCCCTCACCCCAACCAACCTTTCTTTTAAAATCACGACATATTTTTATTTAGATCCAGCTTCCTCATATATTATACAGCTTCCACGTGAGCTGATCTTAGCTTATCTCACTTAACAAGATAATGAAATTCTCTTTCATAATATTTTGTTTATATTATTATAATTAAAGATGTATAACCAAATTATAGTACCTTAGTTTCAGTTTTTAACAATCATATAAGAGGCATTGCCTATCACAGTGTTACACTACCTATAAAAGTCCAACATAAGGGACAAAACCAATCTAACTGAAAATGTTTTTAATGTGTTACTTAGTTAGAAACAAAAGTATTGTTAGCAAAGAAAAAAGGGACACATTAGAACATTGTTTTATTGGTTACTTACTCAGAGAATCTTGTATTCAGCCCTCCCACAGAATTACAGTCAAACCATCCAATTTCCATTTTCATTATCCTCCTAAAGTAAACTTTTCTCATTTTCTGAACCTGGCGAGCTCCAGCTACTACCCAAAAGCAAATCTGGAAATGGACAAAGGAGCATTTAGCATTTTGATGTTCAGAACAATAATATTTTCCATGGTTGCAAATGGAAGGGAAATAATTCACAAAATGCCTCTTCTTGGGAAATAATGTGTGAACACACTGTACCTGCTGCTAATTCATAGTGAAGGTGAGCAGAACAACTTTGGAACATGGCCAGACATCTGAGTTAGGAGCCAGCTCTGACATGTAAGTAGGCACGTAACTTTTGGACCTTATCAAGCTAGAGGCCTCTTGATAAGCACTCGTGCATAGTTTGCAGGTGATGACAATTTTCAGAAATTGCCAGACAATCACTATGACACAAGCAGGGAATCAAATCTGCAGCTAGATTTCCCATAACTAACATAAATAACTCTGTCTTGAAAATCCACAGTATCACAATGAGAAAAGTAGATTCGCTTTTCTTGACAACTGACATTAACTAGAATTCTTGAAAAAATAATGGGGAGGGGGTATTTCATTACTTTTTGTTTTTATAGAAGGCAGCAAAACTGCTGTAAGGGTTAAGTAACCTCAGTTTTTCTATCACTAAATTCAGGAATATGTAGATTCGGTTTTACAAAACTTGGACTGGAATACCGTTTGGTAACTTCAACGATAGAAGAGAAAAAGGAAAGTGTATGTTGTTTCCTTTGCCTCCATTTGCCTTGCACTTGGCTTTCTCTGGTCTACTTGGCTTCCCTCCACAGACACTCCTACAGCTGTGCATTTCCAAGCTTGTAGTCTTTCCAGTTATGACCTGAGAAGATAGGCCTGCCCATTTTCACCTATACTCTGGAAATACAACTGTGATTCATAGAGCTTCTGAATAGCCAGCTTCAAAGCTAAAGGCCACACTTTGGGTTTCTTTGTAATGTTTATGAGCCCAGACGTTGATCTAAGGTAAAAAGGAAAAGCAACTAACTTGAATATAGGCTGTCAGAAATACAGCGACACCAATTCCAATATAGATGGCAGAAAACTTGATCATCTCTTCCTCGATATTCAATATCCTTCAAAAGAGGGAATAGAATGAAGACACTAATAAGCAGGATCAAGCCAATTAGGATCACATGTGTAGATGCAGCACGATTTTAAAATAAACTTATGTATTTCTGTTAAATATAAAGTATTTTACCTATGCAATTACAATCAAGCCAATCAAACTTTAAACAATTCTCCTGGTACCAACCACAGCAAATATGCCCCTTATTTCTTTTTTAATTTAATTTTATCTTATTGTAAAATGATGTACACAGAGTGATGTACTCAGTTACATAGTAAGGCAATGAGTATATTTCTTGTCAAACAGTATTAACCCTTCCCTCGTTTTCTACCACTCCCCCCCCCCCCGCATTTCCCTACCCAGCAAGTTGTTCACTTCTAATACAGTGTCTTGTGAGTATCGCTGTTGCGTTGGTTCACCTTTTGTCTTTTGTCTCACCATTTTCTTATTCCCTTTCCCTTCCCCAAATCAGATAAACATATATACAAGGCACAGGGTACCAAAATCAAAAGCAGCGACAACAGGAGATAAACCAAAGGAAAAAAATGAAAGATAAAAGAAATGACTTCACACAATACACTTAAAAAAAAAACCTCGTTTCCATATCTTGGAGTTCATTTTGATTAGCATCATTTATATGGTCATGTGTACATAGCTATTGAGCTATTGTGATCCTCTGCCAGGACTATCCTAGACATGTACAAATTATTACAAATGAGTGAAACCATGAAGCCTATGTTTCTGTGAGTCTGGCTTACTTCACTTCATAAGATTTTTTTTCAAGTTTTTCCATTTCCTTACAAATGGCTGTCCCTTATTTCTAGAGGCATAGATACCAGGATTTTGAAACAATTCATCAGCAGTTGCTAGAAGGGACCCTAAACAATTGCTTGGTCCTAAATCCACTTGCCCCTTCTGCTTACACATATGCAGTGAGAGATCAAACATAGGTAAGGAAAGGCTTTCACAAGATGAACAGGCTTGTCTGAAAGGACACTGGAAGAGAGCAGTGTGCTGGATATTGAGAAGCTTCCTGTCAACTGTTTTAGTCATCTAAACCAGCTCTTTGACTTCTCCATCTCGGGGTGACCCTAGAAAATACGTGTGTTATCTTCCCATAAGAAGATAGGTGGGAACGGTTTATTAGACATATCTTACTGTGGACTACAGCTCATGTAGCTTCCCTCAGCAGAACAATGCAAAAATTTGATGGCAAACACATTGCAGGGAACAGCAAGGGGTGTGTGTGTGTGTGTGTGTGTGTGTGTGTGTGTGTGTGTGTGTGTGTGTGTGTGTGTGTGTGTGTGTGTGTGTGTGTGTGTGTGTGTGTGTGTGTGTATTTTTTACAACAAAGCTTTCCTGCTGTGGCACAGGGTTTAGAATAGGCAGGTCCAAGGAAAACATAATTCCAGTCTCTTCCTCTATAGTCACCTTGCCTCTTCTCTCTACTGTCAGATTTCCCTCTGCCTCCCTCCGGGTAACTGTCCTTGTTAAAAGCAACTATGAGGGGCTGAGGGTTTCGCTCAGCGGAAGAGCACCTGCCTGGCGAGCGCAAGGCCCTGAGTTCGGTCCTCAGCTCTGAAAAAAAAAAAAAAAGCAACTATAAGAGCTCACCTGCCAGAATCACTTTCTCGCTCCCAAGATACTTAAGTTGATTACATCTGCATAGACTTTTTCCATATAAAAAAATAGTCAAAAATCTCAGGAATTAGAGCCCAGACATTCAGAAGCCATTATCTAGCTTACTAATCTACTATCAAAATAAAGCTAGCCATTAACAGCGTCTCTGAGGATGAACATCCTCATACATTACCAGGGAAAATGCAATGTACAGCATTTTGACAAATAGTCTGCAGTTCCTCAAACCAATGAGAAATCTAGTTACCACACGGCCCACCAATTCCATTACTGTCTACAAATTTAGAGAAATAAAAATGTGTTCACACAAAAATTTGGACACAAATGTTCACAACAGCATTATTTGTAATAGCCTCAAAATGGAAACTACTGAAATATCCAACAACCAATGAAAGAATAAATAAATATGTATCCATGTAATGAAATATTACTCATATATTTAAAAATGAAATTCTGGTGCATGTATAAACACAGAAAAACTTCAAAAACATTACTCTAAAATAAAGAAATAAGGGTAAAGGGTCATGTATTATATGAGTCCTTTTGAATAAAATGTACAGAATAAGGAAATCTGAATTCAGAGGTTACTATTGCCTAGGGATGAGGGGAATGGGGAATCGGGGAGTAACAAATAAAAGGTGAAAGATTTATTGTTTTTCTAATGAAAATATTCTAAAGTTGGTTGTGGCAATGGGTGAACAACGCAATGGATATCGTACAAACCATTGTGTTGCACACTTTAAGTGGGTGAACCTTGTGGTATATGACTTGTATCTCAATACAACTACTTTACATAAAGTGCATGGCTATAAAATACCTAATTTCAATGTAGCACTTTCATGTATAAGCTAAGTTCACATTACTAGGAAAAGAGAATGAGATCCAGCTAAATGCATAGCCTTCGATTTCTGGTTTGACATGTTCATATGCAGAGCAAGTACAGACCCCTGATAGCTCCTGATAGCAGAAGTAGTCAGCCTCCAAGTGGCACCCAAAGATTCCTGTCTCCTGCTCCTCACATTCCTATATAGTCCCCTTCCAAACTGTAACACAGCTGGTGATCAATAGAACATTACAGAAATTACAGCATGACCTTTCCACAATTAATCTGACGAAAGGTTTTGTGGCTTCTGTTTCTATTCTAATTGGATGATAGAAACTTGCATTGTAATATTTTAATTGTCTATTGTATTATCTTCTTTCATTTACTTTTTTTGGTTTATTTGACTATTTTGAGCGGAAGTTCTGATAAGCTAATCGTGAAGACTGATGTTCTACAATTCTTATCAGTGTTATTCATTGAGAACCATTTCTAACACTATAGCTTAAAAGTTCCATCCAACAGAGTAAAAGAGATATGTGAAATATAACATTTTTCTAATTGGGGGAGGGGAAGGGAAATAACAAAATGCTGAAATAAAGATAGATACAGGTTGACCTATTGTAACAATGAGGTATACAAAACACTATGTTGAAAATAAACTTTACAACTTGGGAGGGGGGAAGGAGGAGTTGGGGAGGTGGGGAGGGTAGGGATGGTAGGGGAAAAAAACAGAGGAGGTAACAATGCTCAATAGGAAATGTACTCATTACCTTACTCATGTAACTGTAACCCCTGTGTACAATATTTTTACAATAAAAACATATTTTAAAAACTTGCTAGATATCCTATTCTAAATAATTCTCAGAATACTAAGCAGAAGAAGAATATGCTCCTAAATTCACCTAACAAATATTCATGAGCACCTAGTATCCCAGAAACACATTGATTTTTGACCTATCATTTATTTTCACAGTTTTAAGGCATGACAAGATATAAGAATTCTCTCTTGAATAAATTATTTTCATGAATATTATTAATTATCTCAGCTAATTTACATCATGCATGAGGAGAGTGATTAGCTTTATATTTTGTGGTTTTACCATTCTAACCTAATGGTTATACCATTCTGTCCTCCAGCAGAAATGAAGGGCTTAAAATGACAGTTACTGAATTCTCTTTCATTAAAGCTGCTTTGAGTCTGTAGACAAAAAGAAACTTCTAAGTTTAAAGAAGAAAAATACATATTTAGTAAATGACAAAGCTATTTCTAATCAGTTGGTTTGTTAATTTGTAAGGAGTAATTCTGCATGCTGTATGTTACCCTTGCTTTTCTTTCATCAAGAACTTATGAGTTTGTAATTCCTATTTATGAATGAGTGTTGATTGAATCATGACTGATTAGACCTAAGCTTTACCAAGACAAAGATCACCATTCGGAAGGTCACTGTGCCCTCATGCTCCTACCACTTCCTGCTATTTAGTTGGTGTTCAACAAGTTTTCATTGAATGAGTGAATTAAAAAAAAATTTTAAACACATTCCAAGTAGATGATTGGTGGGAGAGTATCAATGACTTAGAGAGCCCTAATCATAGCCTGAAACAAACCTGCAGAAAAATTTCAGAATGGAAGGCATCAATTCATTTGAGGGAGACTTTCCAAGTATCTTTCTCACCAGGATGTAACTTGCTCTTGATTCTTGAACCTAAATATGAGGATTTGCATATGCGAATAAGCTTGTTCTAAACATGAGGCAGCACGAGATAGGCTGCAGAATCCCTGCTATGACAGTGAGTCAGCCAGCGTATCAGCCAGACTCATGGATTACAAGGTGGACCTTCAGTCTTATCACAAAGAGAATAGTAGTAGTGTGCCTGCCCAACTTCTGGGTCTTCCTGCCCAGTTACATTTTGTTCACAACCCCATACTACGCTTGCCTGGAAACTGACCTACCAACTGTGGCCTGTGACTCTGAAGCTCCCGTTATAAAGAGAAAGCTTGGGACCATGGGATTCATTGACACAGGCACAAATCTAAGGGGCAGCAGGGACTCGGTTGGAAATAGAAGGAGCTCTTGCCTATGAGACTCAAATAAACTTGACCAGTCCTCTTCCTAGTGATGTGAAGTATTGACAATGTCATGTTCAAGTCTATAGTTAACCAGGTGATTAAATGTTGGAGCTGTAGTCAGTAAGCAATGCCAAGTCCTACTTCTGTTAAGATTTGAAAACTTTGTAAGATGGAAAGCACCTCAGAGCAGAGAAATTTCTAGAAATGCTAGAAATTTTATGCACATTCCATCTCAGACATTAATGTCCTCTTTACATACCTGATAATTTATGAGAAACAAAATTTAAAAATAATAATAATAACCTACCCACACTGTGTTCCATTTGTAACATTTTGGTTGAAGGAGCTGTTGATCCACACAATGGTGTTATTCACACATGCTTTTCCTGGGATATTGAGTTCTTGAATTTCAATGTCATAATTAATAAAAAGGTCTGTCAGTATACCAAAAACAATAATCATGCCTGGCTGGGCGACTCCATGGAGTGAAGCACATAAAGTTCCCACCAACATCAGCCAAATATCAGTCGATGAAGAAAATCGAAACTTGAAAAATAAAGGGTTTAGAGATCATCTATGGGTGAAAAGCAGGGGAAGTAAAAAGACTACTCATCTATGGGTGAAAAGCAGGGGAAGTAAAAAGACTACTTAATTTTAGCCACTAGAACCTGCCAAGTTTTGTCCTTGATAAGTACAGTTAACACTAATTATGTACAAAACATCCCATGCTTACATTGTTCAACCTTTCCTCTGAACTCATTCTCTTTACCTCAGGTGTGGACTTGATTATTTATCTATGCATCAACATCTTATGGGGGCATAGACACTGTTACAGATGCCATTGCTAGGTAGATACAATTGTATGGGGTGTTCATCAGTGCCATGAATGTGGCCCTCAGAACTAATCATGACATGGACAAGTGCCTACTTCCACCTGTGAATGCCTTCATTCTGTAATTCTAGACTTGTCCTAAGAATGTATATATATATATATATATATATATATATATATGCATATATACATGCATATATATATAATGTGTTGTGGTTATTGTGAAGATTTGTTACTAAAATGATAATATAAAAGCAGCGATTTCTTTTTCTTTTTCCCCTGGTTCTGGGGTTTGACCTCTAGGCCTGGGTGCTGTTCCTGAGCTCCTTTTGCTCAAGGCTAGCACTCTACCACTTGAATCACAGCTTCACTTCTGGCTTTTTCTGTAATCACAGAAAAAGATGGAGATAAGAGTCTCACAGACTTTCCCACCCAAGCTGGCTTTGAACATGATCCTCAGATCTCAGCCTCCTGAATAGCTATGATTATAGGTATGAGCCACTGGTGCCCACCTAAAACCAGTTATTTCATTTCAGGAGACTGTGCTAACCTATTTGACAGGATTTGTATGTTTAATCGGCATCATATTTCTATCACTATTCAGCCTGTTAACTTGTTTTCATGCAGTTTGTGACTGCATAACTAGTTGCTGTAGGTAAAACCTACCAAGACGATATAATGTAAAAGTTAATACTTCCACCTTAAGCTGCAATTCAAATTTGCAAAGCCAAAGTCATAAAGCAGCAATTTTATTACCAGTTGAAAGAAGCCAACTTTAGTGTTCTGGCCTTTCTTCTTATCTGGTAAGCTGAGGGGGGAAAGAAAAGAAACATATTTAAAGATCATTTTCCCCAAACACCAGGAGATTCTCCTTCCCTACTGGTTGTGCTTGTATGAGTGTTTTAAGGAGGGCTGGGGGAAACAGGGTCTTTCTATATAGCCCAGATTGGCCTCAGACTCACCATATAAACCAGTCTGGCCTCCAACTCTCCATCTTCTGCCTCAGCCTTCCAAGTGTTGGAATTACAAGTATGCACCACCATGCCCAGCTATATGGGTCATTCTTTAGTAAGAAGGGAAGTTTCCAAGAGTTTTTCCAAGAAAAACTCTTGCCAAACTCTTATCTTATAAATAACCTATTGTTCTTCTAGAGATTTTTCTAGAACTGTATCTCATGTTCAGTAGAGATTCACAGATTTTCTTCTCGAAGACTCCCAATTATAATAACTCTTTGCCTTCTGCCTCATCCTTGGCCTATTGGTGCCTATTCACCCTCTTGGAAACGAATAAACCAATTTGATTAAGCTGATGCTAAACTTCCTTTCAGCATTTAAAAACTCGACAATCATATTAAATAAAAAAAGTTCTGATATGCTGGAAACTCCAAGAACACTTCCCTAAATTCCATTATTGAATTTCCTTAGTCCTGTGGTTCACTTCATTTCTCAGGCTTCACTTGGATTTGGTCTCCTCTACACCAAGGATCTCCATTTGAGATCTCATCAGCAATGGATGACCATTGGTCACCTGACCCTTGGATATCTGGATCTTGCTGTTACCCTGCACCTCTAGATTTCTGACAGGTTGAATTCCATTCCCAGTGTATGGCTGCCTGTGCACTGGGCTTCCTCTCTTATTTCCTTCTTCCATACATTTTGTCAGGCTCAAATGGATCTGCAGCTCCTTCCATCCTTCAGTAATTTATAATCAATAAATCCCATCAAGTTTGCTTCCCCATGTAGTCCATGTCCATCACTAGCATTTGAACCATACTTTTCCCATCATCCTCATTCCTTTCCCTCAAATCCATTTTGCTTGCATCCCTCTTCATCCATCCAGCTTCTCTCCCACCCTAATCTTTTGATCCAACTCAGAGCAGAAGCTCAAGTCCAGGTGAGGGAAGTTAGGCATCCCTGACTAGGGAGTTAACTTCAGAAAATGACAGCCACGACTGGTTCTGACATGGTGGATGGTGACAGCAAAGGAAATTCACATCTTGATCCTTAGGGACCCATGGCCTCCAGGTCCCAAACACATCTGCCTTTCACGACTTTGGCCTGGCACATGTCCTTCGGCCTCCATTCTTTCCATTCCCGTCTGCAGAGCCATGAATTCAATCGTAGGGAAACTTAAAATGATGCTTATGGGTGGTGAGGAGGTACACCAATCCCAGGTTTCTCATGACCATTCCTCTGGCCAATCAGACAGCAGATGTTCCTAATATAAGGAAAGCATGTGACCTTATATCTTGTGGGCACTGACATAGAGACCTGGAATGTCCAGCTCTGGGATCCTTTCTTGCATAAGGAGTGCATTTAGCTGCCATAGTTTTGCTTTCAGATAAAGCTGTTTTGTGCTTGGAATACATTTTTCCCTTTAATTCTTTTATCAGTGGAAAAAATGAACCCTAAACATTATCACAAGATCTCCCATGATCTGGCCCCATTAGCTCTCTGACCTTGTCTCTTTCCACAAAAGTCCAGTTCTCAACATCGTTACAGATGCCCATGTCCACTGGGATCCCCTTAGAGGCTTGCCGTTGCTAACTCCCCTGTTTGGATCCCCACATGCACAGCCCCCTCTGATCTCCAAACTTCCCTCCAAAATCAACAAGCTTCCACCGGCCAAAGTCTTTAAGATTTCAACTTTCAGAAAATGACCTATGTAACTGTGGGCCAGGATAGGAGGAGGAAAAATTGGGGGAAAGCAAAGGATAAGACGACATTGTCCATCCCCCCCAAAAAAGGAATGTACTCATTACCTGACTTGTGAACTGGTAACCCCTCTGTATAACACCTTAATAATAATAATAAAATTATATTTTTTGAAGATTTGAACTTTCTTTTCTCACGTACACATACAAGCCATTCCAAACCTGCATTCCCATGTTTACCTCTTTTTCTTAGAAAGGACTGTTATTACTAGCTACAAAGCTGTGCCTCTTACAGGCCACCCTGCCCTGGCTATATCCAGCACTAAGCTAGCTTCACCATTCCTGCCTCCCTCTGCCATGAAATGCTCAAAAATTCCTCAATCTCTGAACTTCTCTTTGCTACCACTTCCATGTCAGGAGCTCACTTGGCACCTGCCCTGTCTCCAAAAGTAGATCCTTACCTAGCCCTGCCCTCAAACTGGCATTTGTCCTATGTGAGAACTTAAATGTTTAGCAAGAGAAAGGTACATAATAATTAAATCTTAGATTCATAGTATTTGTTCCTGGGATGAATTTGGGATCTGGGGACCATCTTGTACCCATAAAATCATAACTATTGCTCAAATTTTCCTATGCCCACCTATACCAGGAGTTCTATGGTATTCCTAGACACAGGGGAAGATTTAAACCTAATCCAGAAAGGGGACTCCAAGGACAAAATGCAGTAAAAAAATTTTTTTTGGTGTATTACCAGGTTTTGAACTCAGGGATTTGTGTTTTCAAGTCACTCTCTGGCTCTGCCATTTAAGCCACTCTCCCCAGTCTTTTTTGTTGTTGGTGGTGATGACAGGGCCATGAGACATTTGCCCAGCCTAGCCTCTGATTATAATCCTCTTACTAAACTTCTTGAATTACTGGAATTATTTATCTAAACCACCAAAACCAGTTTGTATATTGATATGGGATCTTCTAACTTTCTGCTCAAGCTAGCCTCAAAGCATCATTGTCCTATCTCCCTCATAGTACTTGAGATTTCAGGCATGAGTTAGTGCCCAGCTCCATACTGTTTTAAAAAGGAAAAAAAAATCTCTGCGTGGTGGTGGTTCACACCTATAGTTCTAGCTACCCAGGAGGCTGAGATCTGAGGATCACCATTTGAAGCCAGCCTGAGCAGAAAAGTCCCCATGAGATTCTTATCTACAATTAACCACTCAAAAATCAGAAGGACTGGGGCTCAAAGTGGTACTTTTTCAATGTACTTATAATGTACTGTGTGATTTTTTTATTAGTACGTTTTTTATTGTGAAAATACACTACAGAGGGGTTACAATTACATGATCAAGGTAATGAATTCATTTCTTATCAAGCATTGTTCCCTCCTCCTTTGTTTCCCCTTACCATCCCTGCCCTGCCCTCCCATCTCCCCCAACCACCCCAAACTTGTAAAGTTCATTTTTTGATATAGCATCTTGTACATTTCATTGTTGCAATGTGTCTACCTGTATCCATATTTAAACAATTTGTTTTTTCCCTTCCCAAATTATACAGTAAAAACGGGGGTTATACCATGGGGGAGGGATACACAAAGTAGCAAAAAAAATCATCTTATAAATAGGTTAGAAACAAATGCAAGAAAGAAAAACCACTTGAGTCCTTATCTAGGGGTTCATTTCACCTAACATCAACTTATCTGACCTTTACTGCTTGTCTCAAACATATACTAGTTATTGCAAATAAGGGAAACCATGGGACCTGTGTTTCTTTGGGCTTGGCTTACTTCACTTAATATAATTTTTCCAAGTCTTTCCATTTCCTAACAAATGGGGCAATGTCATTCTTTCTGATGGAGGCATAGATTTCCATTGTGTATATATACCACATTTTCTTGATCCATTCATCTACTGAGGGGCATCTGGGTTGGTTCCATATCTTAGCTATGGTAAATAATGCTGCAATAAACATAGTTGTGCTAGTAGCTTTACTATGGTCTTGTTTGTGATCATTTGGGTAAATGCCCAAAAGTGGGATTGCTGGATCATAGGGGAGCTCTATGTGGAGTCTTTTGAGGAACCTCCATACTGCTTTCCAAAGTGGTTGAACAAGTTTACACTCTCACCAACAATGCAGTAGATTTCTCTTCTGTCCACATCCCATCCAACATCTGTTGTTATTAGTGTTCATGATTCTAGCCATTCTAACTGGGGTGAGGTGGTATCTCAGTGTTGCTTTGATTTGCATTTCTTTTATGGCTAGGGATGTTGAGCATTTCTTCATGTGTCTATTGGCTATCGTTCTTTCCTCTTCAGAGAAGCTTCTCTTTAAGTCTTTCGCCCACTTACTTATCAGGCAGTTGTTTCTTTGAGGATTTGTTTTTGGGGGATTTAATTTTTTGATTTCCAGCTATATTTTAGATATGAGACCCTTGTCTGTTGTATGGCTAGTGAAAATCTTCTCCCAATCCGTGGGCTTTCTATTGATCTTGCTAGCTATGTCCTTTGCTATGCAGAAGCTCTGCAATTTCATGCAATCCCATTTGTCCAACCATTCTTTGATTTGTTGTGTTTCTGGGTCTCTATTAAGAAAATTTCAGCCTGTGCCAAGGAGACCTAGGGTTTCTCCTATTCCATCCTGTTTTCAGAGTGTCTGCTTTGACTCCAAGGTCTTTGATCCATTTGGAGTTGATTCTGGTGCAGGGTAATATATAAGGATCTAGCTTTAGTTTTCTACAAGTTATTAACCAATTTTGCCAGCACTATTGATGGATGAGGCTGTCTTTCTTCCATTCTATTTTTTTAGCTCCTTTATCAAAGATTAGATGGCTATAGGTCTATGGGTTCATTTCTCAGTTTTCAATTCTATTCCATTGGTCTTAAGGTCTGTTCTTGTGCCAGTACCAAGCTGGTTTAATTGCTATGGCTTTGTAGTAGAGTTTGAAATTTGGTATTGATATTCCTCCAGCACTGTTCTTTCTGTTAAGGATCATTTTTGCTATTCGGGGTCTTTTATTGTTCCATATGAATTTTTGGATTGTCTCTTCTATTTCCTTGAAGAATGAGGTTAGAATATTGATAGGTATCACATTGAATTTGTAGATAGCCTTAGGAAGTATTGCCATTTTCATGATGTTGATCCTTCCAATCCAGGAGCATGGGAGGTTTTTCCACTTTCTAAGTTCGGTTTTGATTTCCCTTTTCAGGTTTTTAAAGTTTTCATCATAGAGGCCCTTCACTTCTTTGGTTAAGTTAATTCCTAGGTATTTTATTTTTTGTGGGGCTATTACGAATGGAGTTGCTTTCCTGATTTCAGCCATTCTTTTCTCATTGCTGGCATACAGAAAAGCCATTGATTTTTGAGGGTTAATTTTATACCCTGCTCCTTTGCCAAAGTTTTGAATCAGCTTGAGTAATTAGGGAGTGGAGTCCATGGGATTCTTTAAATACAAGATCATGACATCTGCAAAGAGGGAGAGTTTTACTTCATCTTTCCCTATTTGGATCCCTTTTATGTTTACATCTTGTCTTATTGCTGTAGCTAGGCATTCTAATACTAAATTGAAGGGAAGTGGAGAGAGTGGACATCCTTGTCTCATTCCTGAGTTAAGAGGAAATGGCTTTAGTTTTTCACCATTAAGTATAATGCTGGCTCTAGGTTTGTCATATACAGCTTTTATTGTATTGAGGAATGTTCCATGGATTCCTAGTTTTTCCAGAGCCTTCATCAGAAAGGGGTGTTGGATCTTGTCAAATGCTTTTTCTGCATCTATTGAGATAACCATGTGGTTCTTATCCTTGTTCTTGTTGATGTTATGAATTATATTAATTGATTTGCATATATTGAACCCGTTTTGCATCCCTGAAATGAATCCTGTTTGATCGTGGTGTATGATTTTTTGGATGAATTGTTGAAGTCGATTGGCCAAAATTTTGTTGAGAAGTTTTGCATAGAAGTTCATCAAAAAAATGGGTCTATTGTTCTCTTTCTTTGATGAGTCCCTGCCTGGTTTGGGGAGTAGGGTTATGATGGCTTCTTAGAATGAGATCAGTAATGAACTTTCTCTTTCAATTTCATTAAAGAGTTGGAGGAGTATTTTGTGTGAGCTCTGCTTTGAAGGCCTTGTAGAATTCTGCTATAAATCCATCTGGTCCTGGACTCTTCTTAGATAGGAGGTCTCTTATTGCTGTTTTTTATTTCAATGCTTGATATGGGCCTGTTAACTTGGTTTAACTCACCTTGGTTTAGTTTCAGCATGTCAATATTTGCTAGGAAATCATCCATTTCTTCCAGGTTGTGTGATTTTTTTTTTGTTTCTTTTGTATGTTCTTCCCCCATGGTATAACCACTGTTTTCACTGTATTTGATTCCGGTACCCTGCATGTTGTATATACATTTTTCTAATTTGGGGAGAGGAAGGGAAATAACAAAAAACTGAAATAAGGATACAGGTTGACCCATTGTAACAATGAGATGTACAAGACACTAAGTTGAAAATGAACTTTATAGCTTGGGGTGGGGGAGGGTGAAGTTGGGGAGGTGGGGAAGGAAGAGATGGTAGTGGAAAAACAAAGGGGGAGTAACAACGCTTGAAAGGAAATGGACTCATTACCTTACTCATGTAACTGTAACCCCTCTGTACAGCATCTTTACAATAAAAAATACATATTTTGGGGGGGAGAGAGGTCCAGTCATGGGGCCTGAACTCTGGGCGTGGGCGCTGTCCCTCAGCTCTTCAGCTCAAGACTAGCGCCCTACCACTTGAGCCACAGTGCCACTTCCAGCTTTTTTCTTTTTGCTTATGTGGTGCTGAGGAATCGAACCCAAGGCCTCATGCATGCAAGGCAAGCGCTGTACCACTGAGCCACCTTCCTAGCCCTAAAAATATATTTAAAAAGTGGTATAGTGCTAGCCTTGAGCAAAAGAGCTCAGGGACAGCACCAAGCCCTGAGTTCAAGTCACATGACTGACCCAAAAAATAAAAAAATAAAAATAAAGAGAGAAAATGGCCTAGTAAGAACAAGGCTCTGAATTCAACCCTTAGTACCATGAAAACAAACAGGAGTGAATAGAATGGCATATACCATGTAAATATAATATTCTCTGCTTTGTACCTTTAATGGATTATTATGGAAATATTCTAGAGTCGGTGCCAGTGGTTCACGCCTATAATCCTAGGTATCAAGAGGCTGAGATCTAAGGATTGAGGTTCAAAACTAGGCCAGGCAGGAAAGTCTGTGAGCCTTTTACCTCCAATAAACTACTCTGAAATAAAAACAGAAGTGGTGCTGTGTCTTAAGTGGTAGAGTGCTAACCTAGCTAACAAAAGAAGTGCTAGCAAAAGAAGCTCAGGACCAGAAAAAAAAAAAAAACTCTAGAAAAGATTGCATTATTGAAATAATCATTACCTTGATTCCTTATCGTTGTTACCTGTCAGGATAAAAACAATGAATAAAGATCTTTTTAAAAGTAATAATGAGAAAGTGTAACACAGTTGTTAACAAGTTTCCTCTGGAAATTTCTTTCTACATTGTACATTTTTGTGCAATATTACAAATTACCTTTTCTCATGCTCCCTCTCTGTCTCTATTTCTTTATGTATTTATACATTATAGTGGAACAAAGAACTAACTACATTGCTGTCATAGTGTCTTTCTGGACTTTGCTGCAGGCCCTAAGACATTTGAACCTTCTGAATAGCAAATGAAAGAAGCATTTCTAAATCAACTAAAGACAGTCTGTAAAATAAATAATTATGGTTTGGTTCCTTGGAAACACCAGAACTCATTTACTTAACAGATCACAAGTTAACTAGACAGTGCGATAGCATTGATATTTCCACCACAGTAGAAGCCATGACATGAGCCACATAGTATTTTCCCCAGCACAGGTCAGAGATGTAGGAAGGAGGTGAAAAAAATGGCTGTAAAGTCATAGGTGTAAAGAAGCCACAGGAAATGAACCTTAAGGAACCTCTGTTACCATGAGATGTTACGTCCTGTTTCTCCTGACATTAGTTTAATTGGGACTAAAATGACACTGTAGTGTAGATAGAGAACAATGTTTTTGGCTTGAGAATCAGACAGAACTGCATTAGAATTAGGAGGTCTATTACTACTTCTGTGACCTTGCTAGTTGTTAAAAGGTCATTATTAGACTTAAATTTAAATAATCAGATTTAAATTAAAACAACTTAAGCCATGCCTGTAATTTCAGCTATTCAGGAGGCTAAGACCTAGAGGATCATGGCTTAAAAACAGTCCAGAAAGAAAAATCTGTGAGACTCTAAAACAGCCCAGAAGGAAAAAATCTGTGAGACTCCATCTCCAATTAACCAGCCAAAAGACAGACTGGAGAGGTGGCTCAAATGATAGAGTACAAGCCATGGGCAAGAAAGACAAGCAAGAGTGAGAGACCCTGAGTTCAAGCCCTGGTACCAACATACACACACAGAGAATTTTCGGTGTTCACATCATACTCAATAGTAGAGCTACAAGCCCCCTCCATATGATCTCAGACTGGCCAGAAGATGCTGGCTACAGCTCCACTCAAGCAGCCACATTCACTTGATTGCTGTCACCATTTAACTCAACCTAACTAAGAAATTAATGGTTTAAAAAAGAAGTAGTTGGAGGATGATGCTTAACTCAGCCATACCTACTTAGGCCTCCAAATGTTACATCATATGGTTCATAGAGAGAACCACAGGGTATCTGTCAGGGTCAAGCCCAATAATAAATCTACTTGATGTTGCTAATTTTTATCTGCTCCTTGAAACATCACAACCTTGTCTCACTTTTGTATTCCCTTCTTTTTGTAGAGCTCTACGAAATGAAGAGGCTACTTACATGATCCATCTGACTCAAAAGCATGATTGTCCTCTCCAAATTTCTTCACACTGCGAAGAATTACTGAGTCAGACATGATGATTGCAATCCAAAATCAAGACCAACCCTATACAATAAAATGGAAGAATGATTGTAATTGCTACATCTTTTTTTAACCAGAGTAGTCAAATAAAAGAACAAGTTGGTTCAAGAAATAAACTTTCCTAGTCATCTCCAACGAAGCCATGATTTTTTTAACTAGCTAGTAAATAATTCAATGAGAGAGGCTAATTATTAGGAAGGAAACTGAAACCATTGGAAATGGTTTTCTTCAGTTGGTGGATAGATGATTGTTTTTTATTGATTTGTTCAGTCTGCTTATCTGTGCTTTATTTATTCTTAATGAGTTAATATAAAAACCTGGCCCTGGCTGTAATGGCACACACCTCTAATCCAGGTACGTGTCATAGATAGGAGAATTATAGTCAGAGGCCAGTAAGGGGAAAAAAATAACAAACTTGACTCCATAATAACTAAAGCAAGAAAAAGGCAGAAGCATGTTCAAGTGGTAGAGCAATTGTGTGTCAATTGTGAAACTTTGAGTTCAAGCCCCAGTAACACCAATTAAAAAAGAACCACCATAAAAGTGACAAACCAGTTGGTAACATTTCTTTTGGCAGGCCTCATGTTTGGTAAACTGGCACCTAACCTCTCGGGCCACACCTCTAACCCTACGTTTTTCTGATTACTTTGGAGATGGACTCTAGTGAACTTCTCTACCAGGGCTAATCTCTAACCTTTATACTCCAGATCTCAGACTCCTGATTAGCTAGGATGACAGGCATGGGCCACTGGTAGCCCGCCAACTGGTGACATTGTTGAGTCTGTGTAGCTGAAGAATAATAAGCAAATCTTGTTGAGTGCCATTGTTTTGACTACTTCTTTAATAGGTGCAACCTCAGGAAAAGGCAAATACAACTGGAATTGAAGGAAAAGAGGAGGGAGAGTCTCTAAATGATCGTATGTGAATACAGAATTCACATTAGTTTTCTTCTCAGTGGAAAATTCCATTTGTAAAGGGAATCAGGATTCGAATTTCAGGCCAATTCCAGGACTTTAGGCTTAACATGGAATTTTTGTTTTACTTTCTCTGTTTTAAGCATCTAGCAACAGTGTATAACATGTTAAATAATAGAATCAGACTCAAATAATTTTTAAAATCTCTGATCCAGAAATAGAAGAGAACAATCAGAAAAGGCAGAGCCAGAAGCAGCTGGTATTCAGACCTCAGGATCTAGAAGCAAACAGGAGTATGAGAGTTATCTCCTAAAAAGACTAGAAGTTTCTCACACCAAACAGGACTTTAAAAATGTCTCTTTACTTAGGAGTCAGAGGATATCATGGGCATGGGCATTCTGTACTACTGGGAAGTGAAATCCAAAAAAAAACCCTGTTGCCTGTCATTGAGTTATTTCCCATGATGAAGTAGAGACTCATGGAGCTCACATGAAGAGATGGTAATAAACATATCACACACACATTCACAATGTGGGGATCAGATAAGACAGCTGAAGGTGGAGTTGTGAAAACTCCCACTTCAACTCCTCATTAGAATCCTAGAAGAGAATAAAGATATAATAATGAAAGAAATAATTGCATGAAATTCTCTAGAAGCAGGGAAGTGACTCAATGCTATGGATTGGAGATGAAGAGCTCCACCAAAAGACTCATATAATAAAGATTTGGTCCTCCAGCAATCAGTCTTTGCAAGTGGGGCTTTTGGTAAGTGATGGGATCATGAAGGCTCTCTCATCACCAATAGAGTAACCCATTGATAAATTCAAAATTTGAATTGACTATTGGAATATAGCAGAATGATGATTGTTAGGGGATTTGGGTCAATGAAAAGGGTAGCCTAGAAAGTCATACCTTGTTTGTACCCCTTCTTTTCTCTCTCTTTATTTCCCAGCCTCTATGAGGTAAACAGTTTCATCCTCAACACACTCTTATAGCCATGATATTCAGCCTCATCTCAGGCCCAAAGCAATGGAGACAAACAATCATGGACTGAAATCTCAAACCAAAATGTCCTTTCTCCTTCTCCATGGCTCCCAACAGATATTTCGTCACAATGACAAAAACTGACTAACACACTCACACCAATTGATCAGGATAAACAAAAACCAATTCAAACTTAGAAGTGTCAACATAGTAAAGCACCAAAAAATAAGTAAAATTGCCAGATGCTAGTGCCTTACATCTGTAGTTGTCACTACTTGGAAAGTTCCAGGCCACAGTTACAGGTTCACAGCTCCAGGACAGCTCTGACAAAAAAGTTGACAAAACTTCATCTCAACCGAAAAAGTTGGACATGGAAGCGCACACTTGTCATCCCAGCTACGATGAGAAGTATACATAAGAGAATGACCTGCAGGCACACCAGGAAAAGAATAGAAGCAAGATCCTATCTCAAAAGTAATTAGATCAGAAGTGTTGGAGCATGACTTGAGTAGTAAAGCACTTGCCTAGCAAGCATGAAGCCGTAAGTACAAACCCCAATACTGCCCAAAAAAACTCTCAAAAGAATAAAATTTAGGGGCTGGGAAGGTGGCTCAGTGGTAGAGTGCTTGTCTTGCATGCATGAGGCCCTGGGTTTGATACCTCAGCACCACATAAACAAAAAGAAAAAAAAAAAGCCAGAAGTGGCACTGTGGCTCAAGTGGTAGAGCGTTAGCCTTGAGCTGAAGAGCTGAGGGACAGTGCCCAGACCCAGAGTTCAGGCCCCACGACCAGACTCCCCCCCAAAAAAAAGAATAAAATTTATTTTTAAAAGTATTAAGGATGGAAATACATTACCCAAATAAAAATAATGCTCTGATGGAAAATGTTTTCAACAGTATACAGTAAAAAGGCAGTGAATTAATATTTTTGAAGTACTGTGGAAAAATAACCTTTAACTTAGAATTTTATAGTGGACTCAAAAGTCATTAAGCATCTGTAGACATTCAGATATTCATAGTCATTTGTTGTTGTTGGTCATGGGACTTGAACTCTGGGCCTGGGTGCTGTCCCTGAGATCTTCAGCTCAAGGAGAGTGCTCTAGAACTTGAGCCACAGTGCCATTTCCGGTTTTCAAGTGCTTAATTGGAGATAATAGTCTCACTGGCTTTCCTGCCTGGGCTGGCTTTGAACCACGATCCTCAGATTTCAGCCTCCTGAGTAGTTAGGATTATAGGCATGTGCCACCAGCACCCAGCTCATAGTCTTGAGTAACTGTTAGAAGGTATGCCTCAGCAAGGAGAAAAGGATACTCAGAAGGGATTTGTGAAAGAAAAAAAAAACTAAAATACACACAAGGATTAACAAAACATGTTAAGAAAGTCAAATGGTAATAATAGTATTTTTAACTTCTTATACTACTAAAAGGCAAATGTAAAATCTGCACTATAAAATGGGCTGCTTAATGTGTAGATTGAAGTATGTTGAGCTCATTATCATTGTTGAGTTCATGGGAACCTATAAACATCTTTGAAAATTTGTCATTAAATAATATTGCCAATGTCTAATCATTTATACTTGATATTGAACTTAATCAAACCAATGTTTTAAACTTTAAGAACAAACAAGCAATACTAATGTAATATCAAAAGCTACTAAATACATGGAGGAGTAAATGTTTTGGTTATATTGCTTTTGAAGTTTTCACAATTTTTTTTCAAAAAGAAAAAAAAAATCTTAACAACAAGAAATAATATGGCAACACTTTTTTCATTAGTCATCAGATCATACTCTTAATGTTAAAACTAGACATATGTTCTTAAAAATTCACTCTCTTACTCACTAATTTGGGTAGCTGTGATAATATGCTTTTTCTTGTCAGAGTCATCTTGAAATGTTAAAGCGTTGAATAACATGATTTGCTCTTGCTTTAAAATATTCAAGGAGAAACAAAGTAGGAAGAAATAAAATAATTGTGGAAAAATGTTGATGGAGGTTTCAGGTAGTGAATGGGTGTTAGAAATGTTATACTTTGCTATATTTTTGTCTGGAAAATGTTATAATAATTCTCAAAAGGTTCTCTTTTTGGTGAATTACTCCATCAAGTTACATAGAATAAAAACATATTTGAAAAATATGGATTGCTAAAGTTTAGAGTTGAATCAAGTTTACAGAAGAAATTGAGTCATCTGGTTTAAACAATAAACAATCTGCCACACACAAAAAAAAAATCAGTCTCTTTTTTTTCCTGGCTTAGCCATTTATTTTAAAAATTCTGAGATGAGAATATTTGGAGAATTTAGGCTTCTGTATACTAATAGCCTCTACATTGTTGGATATGTTTGTTTGTTGTTGAGATAGGGCCTCACGATATATCCCAGGCTAGCTCAAACAAAATAAAAAGCAGAAGGACTGGTGATCTAGCTCAAGTAATAGAAGATTTAGCTAGCAAGTGCATCAGCCTGAGTTCAATTCCTAGTACTATTTTAAAAAAACAAAATCTCTGGCAATTTTATGCTTGATAAAGAAACACCAGTGATTGATGGCTAGAATTTTGTGAGTTGATTTTGTCTATGCTTAGACAAAATTATGATGTGGCCTTGTGTTGTTTCACCAGGAGCAGCAATATTGCTGGTGATTAGCCTACTGTGAGATAGTTCACATCTATTAGGAAAATAACACAGCTTAGCTGCAGTGTCAAGACAGCTGTACAACATCAAGGGGCTGATCTCTTGTTATTTTTTCTCAGAATTACTCTAAACTTTGTCAGCCTGTTCCCTTTGGACAAAACAAGGAGCTACGCTTCTAAAAATGCAAACTCTCTAGGGTTTAAGGCATGCATCAAGTGATGGGTCAGAAGTGGAAGCTAGTGCCCTTATCTCTGAGCAGCTCAGCCAGGGAAGCGATGAGTTTTGAAGGTCATTGAATTGGAAACGCTAATAGCTTCCTCTAGGAATTTTGTAACGTAAGGTTGGGAAAGTACAATGAAAGACTAAAGGGTCTAGAAAGAATAAGTGAAGACCTTGTGTGTGATCTCTTCTGGAAAAGGAGTGTTTAGAATTGGATGTTAGATGAATTGCCTCAAATTCTTATAGTATA